CCATTACAGTGATAGGGGTGTTAGATAAAATGTATCCTATATTTTTCATTGATTTATCAGGTTCCTTTATCTACGATGAGATACGGATGAGAGCACAAGTGCATACGGCAATCGCAGCGAGCACAGTGTGTGAGCAGAGTAGTCGTGTTTGAGTCAAAGGTGACAGTGAGCTCTTGTGCAATGAAGCACAATCTGGGACAAAGAGCATTTCCATGTTGGACAGGTTGACTTCCAGATGGTCGTCCGTCAGGAGAGAGAGCGGAGTGGTGGGGGTTGGTAGGGGAAGAAGCTGCGATGGAGACTGAAGATAAAGGAGGATTTGCAAGTAAGTTCCGGAAAACCCAGTGGAGAGGCCATCCTCGAACGGCTGACCTTATTTTGTTTCCCAGCTTGTCCGTTCCTGACCCTGGGGCAGTAATGTCTGACATCTTGCATCTTTGCCCCCCCCCCCTCACCACTTCCAAAGCGGTACGTTTTAGGAGATATGGGAGTGTCTTCTCCGTCGTCATGGAGGGCACAGCGCTTCGCATGCTTCATAGCGGGAACCTCAGGGCCTCCCGTTTCCGTCTAGCTACGTCGTTCTTCGTCTTCGTGACATATAATAAGACATGAGAAAATAAATCGGAAACGTCATGCAACAGAATTCAATAGCAGATATTTAATGGCTGTTAAGGGCCGGTTTTCTTAACTGAGGTGTCTGGTGTGTAACTGTTACCTGTTACGGTCCCTGTCTGTATTGTTCACATTTTGTTTGTTTATTTGCTTGTTTGTTTGCTTACATAACCTAAAATGTCCCCAGTTGCCACGATTTCGTTCTTTTGTATCATCTATCTATGTGTCTGTGTAACATCACCACCTGGAAAAAATTTCCTTGGAAATTACTGTGAGTCTGCTTCGTGAATAAAATGCCATTTCTGTATCCTCCCCCCCCCCCCCACCCCAGTACTGGGTCACAGCAAGTCTGGAGCCAATGCCAGCAAATACAGGGCAGACTCTGGACAGGATTCCAGTCCATCACGGGCCATACACACACACACACACACACACACACACACAAAGGTTTGTAATTATATACAGTATTTGGGGGGGGGGACTCTCCATTCATTTCTATGGGGAAAAAATCTAATCCCAGCATGGTGACCTTAACCCCTACCCAGCACTAACCTAAGTAACCAAACAAAATATGAGATTTTTATTTTTCTGATTGCATTTACAGATCTTCGTGGGGACCCGAAAAATGGTCCCCACAATGTAACAAAAAAAAACAGGCTTTTATTACATTGTGGTGGATATTTGGTTCCCACGATGTAAGATAAATATAACCTACACACACACACACACACACACACAGCTCACATAGCTGCCCACTGATTTATATAGATGCCGCTATATTCCACATGCAAATTAGCATACTCATTTGCATATAAAGTAAAAATGAAGTGGGTTTTTATCTGCCTTTTCCTGCGCTTCTGACCAAAGGCATGTCAAGATCTATCTGTAGTGATAGATGTTCTCCACTAGGTGGCCTCATAAGGTCTGATGAAAATCGGCAAACAAGACAACAGCACCGGGCGGGTCAGTGTGGACGACCCGTTGGTCTTTTGACGCTCTTGGCTATCAGATAACTGTTCCGAGAAAGAGCCCCACTTGGTTCCCATAGCAACACACCAGTGGGGGGACTCAGGACATTCACGTGGGCATGGTGGCAGTTGGGTTGCTGGTAAATCCAATTTGGGCGGGGGGGGGCATGCAGTAGTCTTGGATTCTCTGAATTTCCCCCCCATTTCCTCTCTGGCGCAAAGTCGGTCCAGTTTGTGAGCTTAGATTGAGTGGGAGCTGGAAACAATATAGAGCAACTAAAGATGCAAGCCCTAAATGCCGATCCCAGAGACACCGATATCAATCCCCGTACAGAGCTGGGTGCGTCGGCTTCAGCTCCTCCATCAGGTGGGTCCCCTGGATGCGTGACAAAACAAACATTCGGGCTTTGAGCAACAAAAGCAGCATCAGGCTAAACAACTGTGTAATCCCGCGTGTCACGGTGTGGGCGGGGCCTGTCGAATTGACACGATGCCTGCCATGTGGGATGTGTTGGATGTGCCGTGAAAAAGGCGGCCGTCGGAAACGTGTGGCAGGCTACAAACGCCCAGGCTGTTGGGGGGGGGAGGTTACACCCAGCCTGGGGGAGCATCGCTGGAGTGCTGCCACGCACTGGCCCCAGCAGTGTCAGGCAATAATTTAGGAATGATTACGGTTTACTGAGTAAGTAGTAGGTGTGTTTTGAAGGATCGGGGGATGGGGGTGTCTAATTCAGTGGTGCACTTTGTGCACCCTCAGATCACAATTAGCCACGGAGAAGCAGCCATACTATGGTTTCCTAATAGTTCACCATGGTATATCTCTAAATAATTAACAACCAATTAGCAACCAATTTATATCACTATTTCTGTTGTATTAATATATTACAATAATTTGCACTGTCCTGTTATACCACATTGTGATTTTACTGCCTTACAAAGTTGGAGCTTTTCAAGGTTCAAAGGGTCTTTCCATGGACCCAAATCTTCAGCTCTCAGGTTGTTTATGCTCTTACCGATCATGCTGTCTGCTGCACGTATTATGCACTAAAATTCTGGGTGGGTGCTGCACACCGTTATGGTTTTTGTGGTGCATTTTCATTGGTCCGGCAGGGGCGGGAGACTTGGTCTGTGACTGTCGCCCCCTCTAGCAGTGGATATTTTTAAAATCTGTGCAGACGCTGTACGGTTTCTGTTGCACAGGAAGAACTGTTGACCGTACGGATGCATTCCATAAGTTATCGGGTCTTTTGTACGTGTTTAGTATATTTTTTTGTTTGAGAGCATTATTAAGAGAGCCGAATTTTTTCCCAAGGGAAAATCTCTTTACTGTAGATGTGTTTACCATACCCTGCGTATGTTAGATAGGGACGTTCACCTCTCCCGTATTTATCGTGGCTCCCGTCAAACGCGCCATCCACCGGCTCTCCACCTCTTATCTGCGTCGCAAGCAAGGGAGAGTCACAAATGAACAGGGGCTGATTAGCTAATTCGGGTTATCACCTAATCGCCCCGTCCCAAGGCTTCTGTTTAACACGGTGCGCTTTGTTGCACATTGGCTGCAATTATACCATCTCCCCTTTACGGCGGAGAGAGAGGCTTTTATTACCGCTGTCTGCGAGTTTTATCTTCTGTGTGCAAACGGTGCCGGACCTGTCAGGCAACAGACAGGATGTCGCACTGTTGTTGAGGTAGCAGGATAATGAAGTAGCGCTGAAATGATGATCGAGCAACAGGGTAACTGAAAAACTGTTATTAAATAAAAATAAATTCCCTCGTACGACCATTACGGGAAACCCCATGAAGTTGTAAACATGGTTGTGCCTCAGAACTTAGCTTTTAATGGGTCATTTCCCTCCTTTTCTCATGTTATCTAACTGGATTCATTTCCATTTTCCGAATACTGTGAAGTGAGATTTTTTTCTGATGGCTTAATGCTTTCGTACATCTAACTAGCATTTATACCCATTGTACACCCACTAAGCACATTACCTAGCTGGTACCGCCTGTAATAGTCAGTGAAGGTCACGAGGAAGAAGTGAGACGGAGCACTGCAGGCTGCCGCTAGGGGGCACTCTTCCACATTCGGCTTACCCCCCCCCCCCCACAACCAGAGCACTCCGATGGCACATTGTTACCATGACAACACCCACACTCAGGTTTCCCTCACCTTACACGCCACCTCCCGCTGTCCTCTTCACAACACATGTACACATCTTCGAAAGTGAGGAAAACACAGGTTTCCCCGCCAAATGCTGTAGTTAGTGCCCCTGACAATAGACATTCTCACACATTTCGCACCTCCATTGTTTTTTAAGTTCACTTTCTATATCATCTCAAACTACACTCCTACTTTAAGCGCAACAATGTGCTTCTGAAGAGATCTGAGTAAAAATAGCACGCTTCTCATCTTAGGTATATTACTACTCTACATAATGCCTGGTTATATAACAGGTATTATCTCGAAGGCAGAGGGTGAAACTTCAGAAAGCCATAAAATATGTACTGCTTTTCATAATTCAGCTTTATTTTTTACCAAGTAAAATGTCCTTATATGACATACATTTTGTCATATACTTTGTCATATAACACTGCATAGTGCGCGTCAAAAATTAATCTACACACAAATGTATCTACACAGAATTATAAACATCAGAAATAAGCAAAAGCATATGTTAAAGAATGAGGTCTAGCATCCAATTAAACGCACACACATTAATTGAATGACAGACCGGTAAGTCAAATAAACAGTTATTTGTTGTGTAAAACAGAAAGCCCATTATTTCATCTTTATTTCATTTAACCTTCATTATCTCGCAGGCGATAAATCGTGCTTTTATAGATCATGCCAACAGGCACTTGTCTTAAATTGGCCATGCTACAACCACGAGGAGCTGAATGACCAAACCGTTTAACGTCTCACACGACTGTGGAAATAACAAGCAGGGAGACAGCTTCACTATGAACAACCTGTATAACCCATGTATTAAGGTAAGATTACTTGTGCGCTAGTCAAAGACACTGCTGTATATCATCCTAGGAATTCTACTGAGCTATGGGCTGGTCTCTGTTCAGTCCTTCTTCTAAAACTCTGCCTTTACACCCAGGTATAGCACATGTTTCTGATTTTAGGCATGAACCTGGCAGCAGCTGTAAGGACTTTGCATATCAGACAATAAGGGGTCACTGACAGCCATTACCCATGGGGCCTGTTTGGTCATGCTCCTTGTGACCCTGGATGCAAGAGCTGGCCACCAGACGTGACCTGGACCTGATACTGGGGAAAGAAGCTCACAAAAATGACTGGTCCAGAGAAATAACCAATCAGATTATAGAGAAGGTGGGTCTAACCAACTAGAGGAGGCGGGACCAACCAATCAGATCTCTTGGTCCCCCCTCCTCTAGTTGCTTGAACTCACCTTCTCTACAATCCGATTGGTTATCTCTCTGAACCAATCATTTTCCCTTTTCCCTCAGAACATTTATTTTTGTAATCAAAACTCCCACAAGTGGGAAAGAACGGTTGATATTGCATCTGAGTCAAGGATTGAAATTATGAAAGTGGAATGAAGCGTTAGTCTCGAGACACGGACTGATTGAGACTGCAAAGGTTTAGTCTAGAAACATGAAGGTCCATTGAAACATGAACCGGATTAATAAGGGAATCAATTAGTGTTGGTCTCATGGGAAGGGAAGACTAAATAAGTTGCACAAATGGTCAAATGACCGTATCTCTCGTCAGCCTAACATCTTCAGGTTAGTTTTGTGCACATCGCAGATGTCGAACCACTGCTGGTCCACCTCCTTGCCTGGCAGCAGGCTATTTCGGGGGAGAGAGGGCTTGAGCCTCTGTTCCCGGGTGCCCAGGAGCCTCCAGAAGCGTGTGCCCTTCAGCAGGAAAACGGCATTATGGGTGTAAGACAAGTAGGCTGCATCCAGGTGGCCAACTGGGTGGTCACCAGGCACCAAGGCAGGGAAAGCCTCCCTGATCTTCTTTGGGTAGCCGCTCACCACGGCGTGTGTCCCCACGTGAAAGGCGTAAACCTGCGGGAAATTAGTCAGTCTGACCACCATTCAGCCGTGAGGGTCATGACATCATGATTGCCACACAGAAGTAAGAACTTCACATGCATTGCTGGAAAATCTGTGCACACAAAAAGACCCATATTCTGCGTGGTTCTTTAACAGACCTTGAATTACAAATGGCTCAGAAAATGTCTCCTTTCATTAAAACCTGAAATGTTGTCCTTACATCCTTGCCCTTGAAGAAATAGATTAGGGAGTCCCTCCTGTCATAGAAGGCGGTGTCAATGGGACTGGGGACACCAGGGAAGCCCTCAGAGATAAGCCGCGGGTACCTGCAGCCCTCAGAGTCCTCGGTAAACGCCTCGTCGTTTTCACCGTCGTACCTCCAGTACTGAGTACCTGTTGCAACCGATAATTTGTGCAGACAAGCCCGAGCTAAATTCTCCTTCAAGAGGCAAGAGGCACGATCCTCCAGATAATTTCCCAGTTTCCCATCATGCATTGCGGTGCATTTACCTTTAAAAAAGTAGGCGGCATCGGTGGTCCACGTCCACACGTGCACATAGGCATCCACGCCATTGCTGGGGACACCGTGCCATCCCATCTGTACCGCCACCGGGTCCCCGTACCGGGTTCTATTATTCCGGTTCTCATACATCCAGTACCAGCCGCCCCGCATGAAGTAGGTGTTGAATCGGACCACGACCTCACCATACGGGGTCCGCTCTTTCCTGATCCAGTCGAACACTGTGCTGAAGTGCCCTCTGCACCCACCTTAGGGAATTGCAGGAGGGTGAGCTCACTGTCAAGCACAGCTCCTGAACAAATTTAGTCTTGAGAAGCATTAACATAGGTCAATGTATTGGTGAGATTTACACAGTTGTACATTTAGTTGCGTTTAACATGAGCTGTTATGTGGACACTCATAGTAATGATTTCATAGGGATGGAAATATGCACTTTTTAAGCTGCTATTTTCAGGAACATCTCAGGAAAAACAGAAAACCTAAAGTAGGTCATTGTACACCTGCTGCCATCACAATTTGCTGCTAGGACAGTAATTATCTGCGTTTTAGGCCCAGGGAGACTCTGATAAACATTTAACGTCAAGAACTTTTATTGCAAATATGATTAGTGCTACTGTTCCACATCACTTATATTAACAATGTTAGATGTGGCTTCCTTTGCCTAAATGTATCTGCCGCCCACAGAAATAATGTCTAAATTAGTCAGAATAGTTCAATTCAGAACATGTTGATAAAACTCCTGTAGGGTTAAAATATTTTTTAAATCACTTGCATTCACTGCACAAGCCAACACTGGTAAGGAAAATGGATGGAAAGACTTTTGTATTTTTTCTCAACTAATTCAGAGGAGGTCACTGAAAACACTGAAAATGTGCAAGATGACAGAATATAATTCAATACATACCTCCTGGAAAATGAGCCAAAATATCTCATTTTTGTGTGTATGTATATATGTATAAACACACTATTTGTTAATCAATTCTAGGACAAGATGGACAGTCAGGTCTCACCATAAAGCTTCTGAATAGCTTTCCTGTCCAGCCAGTCGATCTCGAACCCGGTGTCCTGCGGGAGGTAGCTGGGCTGCATGATGGAACCTGGCCGGAAGATGTGCGGCAGACCCAGAACATGGCCGATCTCATGTACTGCCACCTACCAGACGGAAACCGAGACAAGATGGACACGGTTGGTCAATGCTGCATGGTCAACTGATTCCTCTGCCTAACATTTAGCCCCATCAGCTGAATTATATACAATTTCTCATCCATCATTTACTCAAAGTTAGTAAGATTCATTAGAACTGCTTGGACTCATCATCTCTGGCCAGATATCTTATCATGTCTTGACTCAACAGTTAGTCCAGCATTTTGTCGAGAGTTCCCAATTGAGTTGGGTTGATCTCACTGTCTGAAGCTCACCTTCAAAAGGCTGATTCCGTAGCCAGTGTTGGGAGCAGTGAAGTGTTCGTCGTCGTCAAAGTGAATGTCGCCCAGAAACCAGGCGTGAGCGAACTCCTGCCCAGCGCCGTCGAAAGCCTGAGTACAACCCAAGTGTCTTCCTGCAGGACGTTACAGATAGCTACATGCTCAAAAGGAAGCTCCGGTGTCATTCTACAGGTCTACATTCACAGAGTGCTGATTCACAGTGTGCTAATCTACAAACCTTTTGGCAACCAAATCAACAATCACAATGCAAACTTTAGTTGGTTGGCTGATGCAATTATTCAAAACAAATTTATAAAGCTAGATATTACTGTAGTTACAAAGCATTACAGTACGGCTCCTCGTGGGAGTTCAACCAACAATCTTTGGATTACTAAAGATGATAAGAAATTTACAAATGAGAGGAGGCCATTTGGTCTATCAAGCTTGTTTGAGGAGAATTCAACTAATACTTTAAAGTTGTTAAAATCTCATCTAGCTCTGATTTAACACACAACTGACTCACCAGTCCCAAACCCAAGCCTGATGTCAATTTCAGCCAGGGGTGAGTGCACGTCCTCCACAAAATCTAGAGGTGATACTTCACTCCACATCCGGAAGGCCAGCTTGAAGATGTACCTCTGGTCGTCGATGGACAGCTGGCTGCTGTAGCCCTCGCCAATCAGTCTCCATTTCAGCAGCTGCTTGGAGAAGGCTATCTGCCTGAGGTTGCCGGCTTCCTGTTTTGACCGCCTCTTGGACAGAAGGGTTAGGAGATGCCTCTTCTGTCGGGGGCTGGCTGGCTTTAGATTCCGGTCACTTTGGTCATCCGTGATGTTGATTGTAGCGTTACTGGCTACAGGGTCAGCAGGTGCTGAGCCAGTGGAATTGTCTTTCACAGAGGAGCCAGTGGAATTGTCTTTCACAGATGAGCCAGTGGAATTGTCTTTCACAGATGAGCCAGTGGGAGATAATCTGTCCGGGACTCCACACCTTGGTTTGTTCATAGCAGCTTTGGTAGCATCATCAAAAACGCCCGTTTCCGGCAGGCCAGACATCACCTGGAACTGTCTGAGGCCTGAGATGAGATCTGGGATGTTGGCACTAACATCGGTCTCAATCCCCGTCCGAGATGCGGAACGCCCTTCCTGAATACGCATATGAAGCCGCTCTCCACCTAGGATATAGTCTGCTTCTTTCGATTGGCTTTCGTCTAGTCTGAGTGGCTTCAAAAAGCCATACTTCGACAGAAATTGCTGAAAAGACAAAATGGAAATCAAGCCCTTTCTAGAAGGTAAAAGGCCCATGAGCATTTGTGAAAACGTGTACAGAAACACATAGGTATAGTTGAAATTAAACTAATGTTTCGCAGCTATGAAATTGTATTTGGAATCGGAAAATGATGGGGATAGTTTACGTTATCTTAATACATCACTGATGAATTAAATATATGCACGCGTAAAATAAATTTATTGCGCATCTATACAGGAATAAGTATTACAAAAGCCTTTGTATAATAATTGAATAAAAAATTGCAATATATATGGGTTTTCCAGTTCAGGGAGTTTTGAATGCTTACCCGTGCAGTATCTGTGTCAACGATGAGCTCGGCGTGGTGCGGAGCGTGCACGTCAACGTCGGAATGGTCTCTATTGTGAAATATCTTCTCGGTATGAACAGTAACGACGTCCGTCAAGAGGAAGATTGAAGTCAGCTGCGTCCATATCAGCATCGTGATCGCAATGTAATGTCGCTATCTTCTGTTCAGAAAACTTCGCTCACATGTATGCTGTCCAGAAAAAGGACCACTCGCCTAATAAGGTATGTCTGGAGTCATTGAGGGCGCCGCGATCTTTTATTTTGCGCACCCCTCCTTTTGCGGAGTAACGGTTTGGTGCGAAGTCTGCGCAGCGCTTTGGAAACGAACTGGGGCGTTTAGGCCTATTTGAAAATGAGATATTCGTTTGTGATCATGGGTTGCGGGTGAATAATACGCACTTTGCAGGCCTCCGTTAATTGCATATCACTTTGTTTCAGGTTGAATGTTCAGGTTGATACGGGAGCGTGCAGCGGTGACACGGGGGTGATAAAAGCGCGTCGGAGCAGCTGCGGACCGGCGCACCTGCCGCGGCTTCGCTCTCCGCTCAACAACCCGGCGATTTCGCACACAAGCAGCAAAACCTACACTTAAAAAGGCAATTGTAAAAATGGTGTTGGAAAGCTGATGCAAATTAATATAAAAAAGGCATTTGTCCGTGTGGGGAGTATTTTTTTACAGTGCACAAAAAAATCTAGGGAATGCACTTTGTTTATTCATATAAACGCTTAATTGTTGTTTTTTGTTACTACATCAGAATTTAAAATTATGTTTACGTTTTGCATAATTACATTTGTACTGCTTTTTAAAAATGAGGTGTTTTATGAATAAAACAGGCTCTTGGTCCTACATTTGAGTGACATTTTAAATATTTCGTTTGATAGACTTTTACTTGGCACCTCATCAAAGGGACACGCAACGCGCGTTAAAATTGTGTCATTTATTACACGTCAATACACTTTACAAAGAAGATCAAACATTTTGCATCAGCAAAATGCCTCACAAAAATATTTACTTGAAATACCATTGTTACAATATGCATTACATTAGCAGGATACTTTTGCCTCGTTAACAAAATCCTTTGCATGGCGATATTTGTCGCAAACGTTCAGCGTCAATGATATTGGTGACGTGCTTTCTTTGACATAGGATGATTTGTCTTGCAGGGATGAGTGGCCACGGTGGTCACTGTAGGACTTGCTCGATTCCATGAGCCAGATGCTGGGCTGTCGGCTTCTCCGCGGTGCAGCTGACTGTCAGGCCTTCCGCGACCATGGCGTCGGCCGTGGTGGGTCCAATGGCGGCAAACTGTGGGAAGAGACCCAGAATCCCTCTCTGTTCTGGCTGGCATCGGTGAGCTCGTGCGGCATGACAAAGAGAAGCTCTGCAATTACCACAACTTTAAATCCCCCCATTTTCTGCTCCGAGATGAACACGATGCAGACTGTGATCTGAAACTCAGCCACCTTTCAGAGTGAGCCGTCAAGTGGAGAAAGGTCAAATATCGGTAACGAAACAAGCTCCCTTTAATTAAGCTTGTTGGGTACGTCAAAACAGCATCCTTGAAAGAAGGTGTCTGTGTCCAAGCCTGCAGGCAGGAGATATCAAAGAGGCAGATCTTTTTATATCAACATGCACAAATTGTTAATTGTGTTGATATGAGGACCATCTGGCTGGCCTAAAATTAAACCTACGCCGTAGTGAAGATCTGATGACCAAGCTTTTTAAACCAACTTCAGAATACACCCTAGGCCACCAGGCTTATTTGGGGAAAAAAAACTGCAGGTTTGAATGTAAATTATAACCCAGAATTAATTTCTCCTTAAATGGAACTCATGTGTAATGGTTGATGGGTCCATGAATGCTCCCCGTTCCCACCAAGACTCACACCCCTCTTCTGCCTAAAGTAGTGTTTTTCCCAATCCGGCCCTCGGGGACCGACAGACAGTCCACATTTTTGCTCCCCGTAATGTGGACTGTCTGGAGGGAGGGAGCAAAAACATGGACCGACTGTGGGTCCCCGAGGACCGGATTGGGAAACACGGGTCTAAAGGATTCTGCCGATCGACATTGATTCTGCTCTAGTTTCAGTGCCCGCAAACTCTCTTACGTGTAAAATATCTCCCTCGCTGTCACCACAGCCGTGCACTGACCTTTCAGCACTCATACCTGTAAATATTTTCATTATTTGGTTTTTTAATTTTACTTAAATAATATGAGACAAATTATATACACTTCAGGCAGCGTGAATAATAAGCCTCAACACCAAACTCATAAAACTGAATTATAATTTATGACTTAGCTTCCGGCTACAGTGATACATTTTTAAAATGAATCTTTATTAATAAAAGTATATTAAGTTTCTGCCTCTTCTCGTGGCGGATATCGCACGGTTAGGAGTGTCTGGCTATCTCACGAACGAGCTGAAAACCTTCAACCCCAGTGACTCCAGTTCCTGATTCCTGACCCCTCACGCTGGGCAGATCGGGACCGGGCAGACAGCGGCCTGTATCCATCGATTAATCAATCGCTTCTTTCATTTTTTGTAAGAATGGGCCCTTTAAAGGGGATTAGGGCAGACGGTGTTTAATTGCAGGCTAGGAGCGAAGCACAATGAGAGGACTTTATTTCGAAGGTCTATTTAAAGACTGCAAAAGAGCACCCTTCATGAGGAAGGGATTCTGACCTGTAGGCTTGTGGAGGGTGGAGCCATTTAAACATCTGATTTAACGCTGAAACGCAGCATCCTCATCAAGCGTAAAGTGATTACTGGTTAGCCTGGAACTGTCAGACAGCAATGGCAGTCATCACTGCTACAACTAAATACCAGACTGCCTAACATTACATCCAGGGTGTCCCCTGCCTCGTGCACTGTGCTTCCTGGGTTAGACAAGTGAGACAATAAGCCAGGCTGTGAGAGGGTGTGCCAGGGTGATGGGGGGGGGGGGGGGGTCTGCAGGGATGGTACCCTGTCAGACTGCTTGTAGGGCCCAAAGCGTTGGCAGCAGGTGAAGTAAGAAGCAGCAAATTTCGGGGAGGTTGACCAGCGCCACCTACAGGACGGCAGCGGAACAGGCGAGGCTAAAGGGAACGGCGTTTACCTTTATCCGGCTCAGGTCGGGGCCCGACAGCCTGCGCACCGTCTCCAAGCAGAAGCGGACTCCCGACGGGCTGAAGAAGGCCACGCTCGCTGGAACACCCTGCGCGTTCCCGGGAAAACGGCCCATTAACGTGTGGGCGGGGCAAGTCCAGTGGCATGCGTGGCAAGACAGGCGTAGCCTGGGGTTTTAGCGCTTTTAAAGAGAGCTTTGGCTGTTAAAGTACTGCTCGGGTTCTGTGGAGAGGATTTCACTGCTGCAGAACCTCTTCAACAGTTAGGCAGCGACTGGGGCAGACTGATCTGCCTTAATCTCCCCCCATGTACGCAAAGGCAGTGATTACCACAGAACACAGTGCTTCAACTTGTAATACTCAGCTCACGAAAGGGAAATTGGCAGACTCGTCTTGTAGTTTGGGGTGGGGGGGGGGGGGGGGCAGCTGTCTAAAACCCACAGTGTGCTGCTCCTCATTCACAAAGTCCAGAGCCCCAGCACGACGCCCGCAGATTTCCGAGATGCCTCAGCACCCACGGTCCTTCCCTCCGACTTACCTTCTCCGAGAAATAGCCTGTCAGGTTCCTCTCCAGGTCCGGATGCTGGGCCGTCTGATAGACAGTCAGCGTTTCCAGGGGCACCCCTATGGGCGACAGGCGGGACATGCGTCACGTCACGATTGGCTGGCCTGTGCTTACTGTTACAAAAGCCTGAACATGCACAAACACGAGGAAAACGCATTAACAGAACGGGATCTGAAAAATAAAATGGGTCAGATTAGGCTGCTGTGCATTCGATCAGAAGGTCGTTGGTTCAGATCCCAGAATTCCATAAGTGTGAAGTATGAAACTAAGGAGAGTTACCATGCTCTCTCAAAGTGGTAGGCAGGACTTCTCTTTTGATTGAGCCACAGGGAAAGAGGAAGGGTGATTTCTGGGGTTCATCTGCTGCATCTAGGAGACGCACACATTCCGCAGTCAGGAGATGTTCCTTTTCACGCCCCGTGTCGTGGCTACGGGGTGGAGAGCCCAGCAGCCCATGTTAAGGAGACAGGCCGTCCTTGTTAGACAGAGAGCCAGCACGCTCGTTTACATACTTTCCAGGATAAACCGCGAGAGCACGGACGCCGTTCCGGAATCTTCACCCTGCGGAACCAGCCCCAGGCTCCTCACTGGGGAAAAAACAAAGCGTTCGGACATTAATGTTTACGTGTGTCGCTATGACACCACCTTGAGTGGGCGGGACGGGCCCCGCAGACACGTAGGTGCGTCGGAGAGTGAGTGCAACAGGTGCTCCTAGGAATACGTCACACACGCTGCACTGCACTGCACTGGCGGTACTCAGGAAAGTACAGGATAGGAGATGGGGAGGTAATGTCCACCTGGACAGGTAAGCTTCTGCTTTCTGTCTGATCTGGGGCAGTTATTCAGCAGCTCTGACAGATGGTAGGGGCTCTGGGTGGGGGTGGGGAGGGGGGGGTGACTGACCATGTTTGAGATGATCCCAGGTGGTGTGAACTATTAAAAGTGTGGCCGGCGCCGATGGGAGCGATGTCACTTCCTGCGGGGAGCTCGGGCCTGTGACCCTTAAGGGCTTCGGCAGTCAAAACAGAGAGTGGGTGTTCAGCTTCGGACGAAACCGATTACATTTGATAAAAGAAGGGCAACGGTGCAGAAAACTGGCTCAAATTAAAGGAACGCAAATCAGACAGAGCCAAATATTAATTATTAAATAAGCGCCACTTAGAACAGAATTTACCATCGTCCAGTCGGTCTGCCTAAATACTGAAAGTGTGACACGTTGCTGGCTTCCTGTGTGAAGCTCAACCAAGCGCTTGGTCATGGTCTCAGCACAGAGGAGGTGCGCTGCTTCTGGCCCTGCTCCCCCCCGACCTTCTTTAGATCTACATCGCACCCGGGGGGGGGGGGGGTAACTGACACCCCTGACAAGCTGGACACAGGTTTCATTTCGACAGCAAACTGAGATTCGTGGAGGGCTGATTTCCTGCTTTCTGTGGGGGGGGGGGGGCTGTTACAATTAGCGACCCATCAGCTTAAAGACACAACCATCAGGGACCATGCAGGTGCTTTGGAGCTATACGGCTAAGCCTGAACAAAAGATGCCCACCCCCCCAATGAATCACCATCTCACCTCTCTGAACATAAAAGGAAAGGCAGGACCTATGAAATCCACCCCATCAGATGGAGGACATTCGTTTTATTCCGATAATACAAAAATGCTCTTAAATTCCCTAAAATCTGGAAGTGAGCGGGACAGAGCGGACACAGTGTAACAGCCGTGAAACCACATCTCATTATGCGATGTCTGCCCTACAAACGTCGCCGTGACTGGCAAGGTGCAGCTCTGGCTGTCTACACCATCAACCCCCCCCCCCCCAGGAAGCTGCTGTGATATTTAAGCCCTCATGCTCACGTGCCCCATCACACTTCCTCAGTTCCCTCACCTTCCCCCCTTCACCCTTTTCAGAATCACCTCCCCAAATTATGAACCACTTTTATTCGATAAGATCGCTTTGTTGCGGTACGCACAGGACTGTGCAAAAGTCACAGAAAAGGCTTTGATGATCTTCATGTTAGTTTAAAGCTATGATGTTATGTTTGGCAAAGTGTGTCACCTTGGAAACCTCTCCATAAGTCACCCAACCATACATGTGTTTTTTGACTCAACCACTAACATTCCGTGTTTGGCTAATCAATAGCTGACTGAGTTATATAACTGAGGCGTTTAATTAATTGAGCTGGTGGCGAAATTTAATGAATACACTGAATGGCTGAGGTGCCCCTGAGGAGAGGTTTGGGAACTGAAGCGGTGTTCATCTAGCCATCCAACAGGAGATCAGTAACTTTTTGGAGAACACAAGAAGTTATTGCTAGCTTATATTGTGTTACTCTTGATATGCATGTTTTAATGTTAAACTGCATTTTTTCCTAACAAATATGCACTTATAATCCAGATGAATAGCCTTAAACATTTTACTTGACTCATTAAGACCTCTGCACAGTGCTGAATGTATGTTTTCCTTATATCTCGAAGGCTCTTTGGTTGCGCTGCCGTCTTTGTGAGTGAAAGCTGTCATATGGACTGTGATATGTAGGGCGTATACCGCCTCACAGGCTCCGGATCAGCGTGACGCTAATCGGCCAGCATCGGCGAAAGCAGACGGGCAGGTAACGAGGCCAGCGACGTACCCAAGGCAGCCGTGGCCTTCCCGACGACGTAGACGAGTCTCACGTTCCATCTGTCCTTCACCGAGGCGTCCCACTCTGCAGAACACAGCCGTCAGACTGTCACTGAAACAGAACGCGCATTCCCGAAAGGGCTCCTATACCAGCAATCGTCATGGAAACATACAACCGGGTGATGACACCCTATGCAGGGCATGTTACACTGTGGTTGCAACAGGCAGCGATGCACCAATACGAACAGGATTCACGCTTAGGCTAATATTGCAGTGATAGAGACCAAAGAAAAACTTATTATTAACTAGGCTAGGGAGGATATGTTTCTGATAAGACGCACAGGCAATGCACAATTTAGGGAAAAAATAAACTTTCCCCGCCACATTTCTTATGTTTGGATTTGTTTTCCTTCTCATTGCAACAAGGTGCACTGTGAAATGGAAACATAATTATTTCACATAAATTTACATGCATTTACATGCATTATTCCTAATACGACAGGAAGTGCACAGTTTGACAGCTGCTCGGTTCGTCAAAAGATGTGATGGACTGTTTCAATCCCCCTCAAAATGCTGGGCAGGAGCTTGCAGACAGAAAAACTGAGTCAGTCTGACAGAGCGTTACAGTTTCTGTCATCAAGGATCGAGCCGTTTGTATATATTGTTTACTGCTGCATGTTTCATTCTTATTTTATAAACATTTGTTTTCTAAAGGCATTAAGTGAATACTTTCATTGAAATGGAATGGGAATAATTTTCATATTTTGTCCAAAATTGGCATTCTGTGATTATTTTTTTGGTGTTTCAATTACCTCTGATTGAAAGACCTTAAACGGAATTCATTATCAAACTGCCTGCAATATGCACTATACTAAACAAAAACTGATGTTCTGATGCAGTGTAAATGACGGAATATTTTTTTAAATTATTTCAAACTATTTTTTATGCTCCTAGGGTTCTTTGATTAGCTCAGAGATTCACAAATAAGATGCCCATGCGTGGCACCTCCGGCACAAACTTCAAGGTGTCTCCTTAAAGAAAAGCTTCAATCATGTGATTGTACACAGCCTGTAATGATGGCTCTAACAAGAAAAAAGACAATTTCTGTCTCTCTTCTCCTTGAAGGAAAATGGGTCAAATTAAAGCAACACAAATCAGACAAACCCAACTCACTCGTTAATAATTAAATACTTAGGAGATAAACTTTCTGGTATTTTTACTTGTCAGAAACAAATCGTGAGAAAATAGAAAAACAGAAATTCACAAAAATAATGCTGTGGAACAGAGCAATTTGACTTCTTTCCAAAATTACGTATACAGTTAAAATGTTCCCCAAGAGAAGAGTGTCAGATTATACTGTTTACTGCCTAGAACAGGGTTATTCAAATCACGGTCCTCGAGGTCCGAGCACTGCTGGTTTTCCAGCCTTCCTTTACCTGTCAGTCAGGTGTGAAGCCACTGACCAATCAGTAATTATTAAACAACTACCTGGGGGAACTGAAAACACGGCCTGGATTTAGAATCGAGGTCTAGAGTTGAAGAACCCTGGCCTAGAAGGTAATTTCTGAGTTTTCCTGCTAAATCCTTTGGGCCATTTTTAAAGAAAACATTTTCTTTCCCAATTTTGATGAATGTCAGTATGGAGGTTATCAATAATAAGATGTAAATTATCATTCAGTACAGATGGAGATTTTGAGTCACATTAGGAATTCACAAGGATATACAACGTCAAAGTGCAGAACAATTTACATGTGCTATAAAGAATTGCTGGAAGTGTCCAAAAATCTAGGAACCTAAAAATATATATGCATTATAAATTCTTCTCCATTTAAGAATGACAACAGAAGGTCTGGCAGTTGATTGTGGGCAGGAAAAAGCCAATCTCAAAGTAACTGTAAACTTCTAGTTAATGGTGACCTCTATGGGACATTTACAGTCAATGCAGTGTTTCCAACTCGATCAGGACGGCGGGCTGGGAGTTCGCATTCTCATGTATATGTATCTACCTCTATGTTAATACCTGACACATTGTTTAAAATTAATAAGTCCACCTACCCTCCATTTTACTATGAGCTTCCAAACACGCCCTAGCAGCCTCCACTGCCCTGGGGCTGGTGAAGATAAGGCCTCCAAACTTCTCAGGCTGAAGAAGCTGTTCGAATACAAAAAACACATAAAAATTAATGTACGTATTTTCGCCGTTCCCACAATTTCACCGGAATACAAATAAGGGTAGAAACATGAAAAGGTTCCAAGATATAAGCATTTTGATGAGAAATGGAGTTTACCTTTTGACACAGTGTCTCGAGGGACACAAACGTGAAAGACAAGACTGGAATCAACGTAGCGTTGTGTCCAAGCAACTCCAACTCCTGGGGCCGCCAAGAGAAAAGTCAGCAATGCAGTTACACCACGTACATCAACATCTCAGCAATCAAGCAATAGTAAATATTACCACACTTCTAAATATGGTAATTTTGTTGCCTATACCTTGGTCTAAATGAAATGATCATATCACAAATGCATTTACCTCCATGTCAGCTTGTCCTTCCAGAAGTTATCATTTTTGCTTACATATACAAATGAATACATTAACACACAAAGTTATATGTTTATAGCTACCTTGATGTAAGGATCAGGACCAGAATCATCTTCTTTCGGTTCTTTAAGCAGCAATAAGTTCATCCTGACATTAGTTACCTCAAGAATTCTTAAAAATGAATGTGCAAAAATAAATACAAGAAAATGCCAAAACAACGAGTGACCCTGCAGGGAGGAACGTCACAGTGTAGCCACATTACAGTGTAGTTGAAGCTGACAATGCGGGTAAATGTAATGTGCACTAGGAGTAAGCAGGAGATCCACCCTGTACGTGTGATGAACACACACTTGTGTTGTGTGCTGATATGGAAATCCCGAAGAGTCAGGTCATCTTCTGACAAACAGGATTACCAGATACAAACGACAACAGACAAGCATGTTAAATAGCTTTAGCATTTGTTACCGGTCATGACACAAGGACAATATTAAATGTGATGCACACTAAAAATAGTATACAGAAAATACACTAGTGGCCAAAATTGTGGATACACTCAGCATTACGCTTTAAAAATTACTACACGAATACCGGAGGTAATGTTTATAAACAACCAAAGAGTGTTTACAAATGTCATATATTGGACGATTAAATAAGTAACTGGAGCAACACTTGGATAAAGTTCTGCAATCTCTAATAACTAGAAGTGTTTCCACAATTTTTACCCCCAGTGTCAATTAACTATTCCTAGCTGTATTCCATAAATTATTTAGAAAGTTCAGGGAAAAAGGACTAATATCGCTTGTTGTTAAGCACATACCTTTTTCGTGCCGTACATACATTTTGAAAGAAACGTTTTCTCAAAGCAATTAATGGGAATACCAAAGAACAGGACAAGGAAACCTATAAATATATACGGTAACTACAACTGTTTACCTTGTTGGAATAACGATGTAATACTAATCAATATAAAAATTCAGAGCTGTCAAGGAGCTTCAAAGATAACCAACATATAGCTTTGACAGGACATTTATAACCCCTTTAATGTCGTATCATGCCAGTATTGCATATATTATACCTGTGTACTGTTATTCTGCAGTCTCATTGAGCCACGCTGTTTTATAAAAGCAACTCAAAATGTGAGCAAAATTATGAGAATAAGCATGATCTCCCGAAGTAGACCGAGAAGAGCCAATTCTGACACCATAGCCCCTTTTCAGCTGAACCCGGAAGCTAAACTATGGACGCGTCTATGGCTTTAAAGAGGGTAATGGATGTAATGGATATCAGTTTAAGATATACTAGTAAAATAGACATTTGTTATTAAAACTTAAGGTAATTCAAGTTTAATTAGTTAGAGTTGATGGGTTTTTCGTCTGTTTGCAATTATATTGGCGATTCTTATAAATATGTTCTCCCCTACTTTCGCAAATGGTCTAGGCCAAATAGATCCCAGGAATCTAGCGGCAAGATGGCGCCCACAGCGGATTTAACGTGGCCTTTTGCTGTATATTTAGAGCCGTCATGGCGGATACAAGCGCTCAGTTACCCTGCGGTATCGGCACCGTGAATACGATGACCTATGATCTGTAGTTGCGTATCAGGCGTGTGTCAAGCGGCATGGCTTCGTCGGCGAAAAGGCGAGCAGTTGGAGTGCGACAGGAGCCCGAAGAGAGTGGAAGCGACTCCTCGGAAGGGAGCTTCGATGAGAGCGGCGACTCGGGGGAGGAAGACAGCAATAACTCCAATGAAGAGATCAACGAGGTAAATCACTTTTTTGCACGCATCGGGCCTACCCTTCCGAATACAGATGGACCGAAGTTGAGCAAACTGAATGAATATTTATATGTATAGAACTGAGTCATGATATAATGTACAAAGCAAAATGTAATGTTATTAATTTTACAGGAGGTTATAGTGGATTTTGAAGCCCATACCATCTCAGATAATGATTTCAACGGGATAAGAAAACTGCTCCAACAGGCAAGTATCGGTGTCAGGTCAGTGATGGGAAACATGACGTCATCAGAGGCGACCCAAAGTCATACTGTACCATGAAAGCAAGATAGGAGTTGATTTTATCAAGAATATTTAAAGCCGTCCGTGTGCCTGGATCTTAAGTAAGGGATAATGTACAGGCAGCCGGTAGTTATCGCAGAAATAAGCCCCGACAGTGTGATCTCCGCTTGTATCACACTGAAGGGGCTTATTTCGCGATAACTACCGGCTGCCTGTACATTATCCCGCTTATTACACGGCTACATGCCACATAAGGAAAATGACATGGACATGAATATGAATTTGAAACATTTTATTGGCATATTTGTTTTAAAATAACATTTTTATCTTTCCGCGAAACGATATAGTACCACGTGACTATGCGTTATTACTTTGGAGCGGTCATTATTTGAAAATAACGAACCTGCAAATGTCTCAACTGACCAATCAGAATCAAGCATTCCAGAGAGCCGTGTAATAAGAGCTGATATTTGTTACCAAGCAGTGTTAACCAACATTTAAAAGTGACATCTTTTAACACAAATCTTAACAACTTCTGCATGGTCTGTAAAGCGGCTTGTGACAGTTTTAATGCTTTTTTTACTGAATGTTCTCTCCTTTCCCCACTTTCTTGTGAATCAGTTGTTCTTAAAGGCTAATGTAGATGTGTCGGAGCTGACTGACATCATCATACAGCAGAACCACATTGGTAGTGTCATCAGGGTAAGATCCATCAAAACATGAGCCAGAATTCAGAATGATGATGTGTCTGAAATCGACTTAAATGAATGAGCACCTTATCCTTCACTAATGTGTTTCATGCTTCCCTGAAATGAACCATTTACCAGTTATTATCAATATACCTTGGCAGATATAAGAAACAGGAGTGTTGCTGTATGAATCAGTGCTGCTTGTCTGACATTCTTCCATTTGCCATCAGCAAGGGGAGGTAGAGGACAGTGATGATGAAGATGATGATGATGAAGTGTTTGGATTCATCAGCATGCTGAACCTTACAGAGAGAAAGGTAGGATGTTGTGTATTTGTATAAACTAGAGCTCCAAACTGCCGAACCTTTCAGTATTGGACTGATCAAGTTCCTTTTATTGTACTTTTCTTTACAAAATCTGCTACATTTGTACACTGAAACCCTTTAAAACTCTTAGGAATAGTCCAGAAAGTACAGTGCTCACAGAAAGACTTGGAGCACTCGCTTAATTCAGTAAAATTATTGCAAATTTATTGGTGTTTTCTAACCAAAATCATTATTTATTTATTAAATCTTTGTATATGTCACATTAGAAACATCCAGTGGTTTTAACTAAAACATTCAAGTAGCAATACATTGAAACTCAAATCGTTCTGAGTTACAATGTTCATTGCCAAGCAATCTCATTGGGTGCCTTTTCAGTAATACTTTTGCAATAACAAAAAACACCAAACATTTGTGTTTAGTATCCCTTTGGGAGCCAGTGACTACAGTTGCAATTAATAGCAAAATGCCAAGATAAGAAGTTAGTCAGTCATAAAAATTATGTCACTTAATAAAATGTCTGTGCAGATATGTTAAACATTGCTGGTCAGTGGACTTTTGTTACGAAACCAATTTTTACTGAATTAAGCAAGAGTCTCAAGACTTTCTGTGAGCACTGTATTGTTCTCTGGTATCCATGGTGACCACAATGCAGTTTGTCTTTCAGCAGGAATTGTGATGGCATGGAGGCGGATGACGGGTGTGGTGCTTCTCTGCTGTGTGTTTGGCCAGGGCGTCCCCTGTGTGGAGCAGGTCAAGGAGCTGCTGCTGGCCCAGTGTGAGAAGGTCTGTCCCCACAGCGTGGTGGAGGAGCTGGAGAAGACGCTGAAGGACGCAGGCAAGCCGGTGGGGCTGCTCCTCAGCGAGCGTTTCATCAACGTGCCGCCCCAGATCGCCCTGCCCCTGCACAAGCAGCTCCAGTGAGTCCCATCGAGCTGGTCTGTCTTAGATGTGGGCCCTGAGTCTGGGGGCCCTGAGTCTTAGGGAAATTACTCACTCCGCTGGTTGGTTGAAGCAAAACCTTGGTCTGGCTTTCTGGACCTGAACTTTCCACCTTTGTTTTTAATGGATTACTTTTGCGAGTAACTTCCCAAACACTGCCTGCATGATGCTGTAGAAACATACCCCATAGTCGGGTTGCAAGTTCAGTTCATTGAACTAAATTGTTGTGTAACTGGATGGTCATTTCGCTCGGATAAGAATTGATCCTGTCACTCACACTACAGCACTGAATTCCTCTCTAATTTGGTCTTTCAGTAGAGCCACCAGGAGGGGTGCAATTATATAATTCCCTTCTGTCCTTTCAGTTCATTATTTTTCGGTATCATTACTGACTGTCGTTTTTGAATGCATGCTGGCACGCAGCACTAATGCATGATGTCGGCCACGGCCCACCTTAAAGAGAGAGTCTCTTTGTTAAGCGTAGCCTTGCCCCAAAGTAACCCTTCGGCTACATTCACACTACCAAGCTCAGATGAGTCAAATCCGATTTTTTGCCTGAATGTGAGATCTGATTTTTTTCAGGGCTGTGTGGACACACAAATCAAGTCTTTTCAAATGAGATTTGATTCACTTTCATATGTGGTCATAGATCGAATATGTATCCAATTTGTAGACATAAGACATGAATGTGAACGGTCGGGTCGGAATTCATGTGGTTTTTTTGCAAATGCGCATGTACTGAGCGTTTTTTGTTGTTGCAGATGATTCGTGTAAAAACATGAGAACTGATTTGGAGGACAGATGCGTTCACATTACAGTTAGGTACAGGTCTCTGGTGATTATGAATGTGAACCATCAAAATAAGCAAATCCGATCTGAGCATAATATTGGAATTGGACAATGAGGCTTGTAATGTTAAGGTAGCCTTTGTAAATGGAAATCCCCTTAATGCTGGTGACATCGTGTCACCAATTCCAGAGACGAAATAGCAGAGGCCCAGAAGACCAACAAGCCTAGCAGCAGGTGCCGTTACTGCCTGATGATCAGCAAGACATACATGGCGGAGAAGAAGACTGGGCAGAAAGAGGAGCTGATGTTCTGTAACGCAGAGGAGGAGTTTTTCTATGAGGTACACGTGGCTGTGATGTCAGCGATCTCCCCGGTGTCGTTGCCCAGGCAACGCACACGCATTAATTAGGAAGAGTTAAAATTTTTCACATAAAGGATGGTTTAATTTGAGAGCTTTTTGAGGGTCCCTGTTCCCAGCATTCTTTGCTTCGTGTCACATGCTAGAGTGACAGCGCTTCCTATTGGCTGAAGAGTGATGGTTTTAAATAAGTTTATCCTGTTGCAGCAAGCGACCACAAAGTTCAACTACTCAGTCCAGGAGGAGGCCGATTCCTGCCTGGGCGGACGATGGTCCTTCGACGACATCCCTATGAAGCCTTTCCGCACGGTGATGCTGATTCCTTCTGACCGGATGGGTGTCGTCATGGACAAGCTTAGGGAGTACCTGACTGTGTGAGCATGTCCAACACCAAAAAAAAATAAAATAAACGTCATTTATTTGCTCTTATTGCAGATGTTACCCATGTGTGGGAAATGTATTGTAGCCTCTGGGGTAGTCTTGTCAATAGTCATTGATTGACAGTCGGGGATCTCAACAGGAATGTCTTCGGCATACATGATCATATTAATTTTGTGGAAAGGGTATTGCCTTCAGCACCACTGGAAGTCATTTTAATCACGTGCACACGTGTTGTGAAAATTACTTTTCTCCATCTAGATACCTGTACATCTTTTGATATTCCGACAGATCACTGTCCATGTACTCCACTCTCCAATAATTTATTTCTTAATGAAGCATATACTCATATTTACAAACAGCGTGACTAACATTAATCTTAACTAGATTCCTGATAGTGCCTTCACCAAAGTTCACAAGGTTAAATGATTTTTGTGCTTCTCCATTGGTACATCTACCAAGTCCTGTGGTTTTTCTGCAATGTTCACGTCTCAAATCTCAATTTTTAAACTGCCTGGCGGAAGCATTGCCAAATAAAGCCCCGTGAACCATTTGCTGTACTTTTTTACCCCACTAGGTGGTGCTCTTGGCTTGCTTTGGGGCATGCTTTGAGCCCTTTTTTTTTTTTTTTGAACAGACAGCACCAACAAGCTGGATCAGAATATACAGCAACTGGTTCATGAAGCTTTACTTGGCCATCACTAGGAATAGTAAACTTTCAGTTTACTGTGTTAATGTCCTGCTTTTGTTAATTGCTGCAATGGACACTAATATAAATATGTGCCCCTACAAAGCTTGAGAGCGGCTGAAAGGGAAACTGTCCATTTTACTGTCTGGCCTACATCTCCACTGCGACTCTCCCTGTTCCCGTTGGTGCGGACGGGGCTGGTTGGACCGCCGTCACTGCACGACGCATCTGTCAGTCTGGTTCGAATCACCCTCATGCTGCTCGCCGTAAAGTGCGTTGGCCTCTTGCTTTCGGTCTTTGCGGTGGGTGGCGAGGTCCAGGAGGTGCTGCAGAATGTCTTTGCTCTCACTGTGGGGCAGGTTGTAGAAGAAGTACTGTGGCACCATCTCTGTGAATCTAGAAACAAAATCAAACTGTGCTTAATGGAATCAGGTGATTTCCTTATAGACATCAGTGAACACTGATGTAATGTTTAGTAGCTATTCAGCATTTGCTTGACTGAATAGAGATGCAAGCCACAAGTGTAATTACTCGCTGTATAATCTTTAATCTTTTGTTAAATTATCATTTGAATGTATTCATTTTTCAGTGGGTTATAAAGACGCACACGTTAGTGACTAATTTCGAGCACCATCTGGCGTGTTGGTTTGGCGGGAGCTTGTAGGGCAGCCTGATCTATAACAATAAACTGAACTGAATTAATTCCAGTTGCTTTTCTGGTCGAGGTTTGAGTGTCCCAGTAGCGAGGATGATTTCACCTATGGGGATGGATGTTTTTACTCCAAGGTCACCCCCCCACACCTCTGCAAACCAGACGAGAAGGGCGACTCACCCCTCGGGGGAGATTGCAGAGACGGTGCGGATGCAGTTACTCTCCGACAGGATGAACTCGTGGTACAGTAACCACTCGGGTTGGCCCAGCTTTTGAGGCCCGCTCCCGTACCTGGACGTGGGGTGGATCTGAGCGATGTGCTTGTGTGTCAGCATCAAGTAGTTTCCGGAACCATCCACGTCCCTGGCGATCTGAAGGACAGGTGGATTTTCCCTTTCAGAAACACTCAGGCTACTGAATCTACATCAATATATCCAGAGTCAGTGTTCCCGAATCGATAGTTATCAGCACTTGATCAAAATTTCCCCAAAGGAATTCAGAGAGATTACTCTTCAAGTGGTTTTAACCAAAGCCACAAAGTCTGTTTAATAATTCATCATGATAAAATTATTTTAAAACAGGACAGCCTGTGCCTGTTAAAACCCATTTAAATTTAATGAATCAAGGCGTTTTTTCTTAATTATTTGTTCAAATACATTTTTTATACACGTGGTAACAGCTACAGCACTCGAGTTCAGTTGAGGTGCAGTACTGGACACACCTATGAATCTGAATTATATAAACGCTGACTGTCCACCCCCCCCCCCCCTTGTGCCATGAAGCAGAACATGCTTCTAAGCTTTTCTCCCAGGGGGTGCAAGGAGAGAGAGCCCCACCTGCCACCCGTTACAGCCGTAGGTGCCAACCTTACATATACTTGAAAAAAAATACTCTAGTCAGCAACGGAATATTTAGCTGACCAGGTATCGGGGAGGTTGAGCTCCCACAGTATATTTTGCTGATCGGGGGGGAAATTAGAAGTTGTGTGCAATCGACTAGAAATTTCTCAGCGATCGACCTTTCGGTCATGATTAACCGGTTGGCGACAACTGCGTTCCAACCTATGCCAAACTGTAAAATTGTTAACAAATAGTAAACATTTACAATAAATTATTATTACACATTTATATGACTACAAGCCACATTTTCAAATATAACATTACAATATCAATTAAATTTTTACTAAACATATGTTCAAATAGCGTTTTCATCTGACCAGTAGGGGGTGCAATTGTGCCCACTGCAGACCTGCATGAAGAAGCCCGCCAGCAGTGCCTTCTTGATGTTCAGAGCGTTGGCCTTCGTCCCGAAGGATGGCTCCGACACGGGCAGCTCAATGCGCCTTAGGATGTCGATGAGCTCCGACCGGATAGCTTCGGCCGTCCGAAGCGCCGGGTAGCTGAGGAAGCTGTCCTGGCACCACTTCTCAATGCTCAGGTCTGCAAGGAGAGCGGGCCGGAACTCAGTTTCAGGTCAGTTTGAAGAACATCTGATGTCTGCCAATTCTAATTGCTTAGTAGATACCGTTTTTCCCAGAGGGACTAAAATGGGTTCTTCAATAGTACAACAGACTTGACCTTCAATCTTATGGCCCACAACACCAGTTCTCAGTCATGTTGTTGTAGCATCAGCACGGACACGATTAAACTATAACTGTTCCATTTATCCAGAGGTGGGGCAGGGCCTTGATGTGGGGCGGGGGGGGGGGAGAGACTCACATGGTTCACGCTGGTTGCGTTTGAAGGTGTTATAGATGTTGACCAGGGTGAAGTGGTCCCCCTGGGGGTGCTGGAACTTGAGGTGACACTGCGCTGCCTCCTGCCTGCTTCCCGTGGGGTTCTCCAAGAAACAGCTGGGGGCTGAGACAGTCCCGAAAACAACCTGTTAGCATTCCCGCTATTGATTACCCTGCTGGCCAGCTCCATCTGTAATTTCTTAAAACATCTCACAGGGCCAATATTTAGAATGCAGAGCTGAACTACATCCTAATCCTGTACTAAATCCTTACCATGTTACTATCCATGTTCTAATTGCTTATCCAATGAAGAGAGAGCCTGAAGTCTATCCTAGCCTATCCCAAAAAGCACAGCAAGCAAGGCCGGAGACACCCAGGATGACATCACAGCACATGGCAGGAGGAACCATGTTTCTGGACTGTGGAAGGACTTCCACACAGAGTGGGGGTGCGGTTCGAACCTTAGCCCTAGAGATGTGAGGGGATAGTGTTGTCCATGCAGCCATCTTACCGCCCCCTAAATATGTAATATGCAAATATAGTTGGTTTTTCCTATAATGAGAGAAAGCAGAGGTATGATTTGTAAGGCAGTGTTTCCCAATCCAGTCCTTGGGGATCCACAGACAGTCCACATATTTGCTCCCTCCCTTGAGCTGGCAGGGAGCAAAAACGTGGACTGTCTGGCAGGGAGCAAAAACGTGGACTGTCTGGCAGGGAGCAAAAACGTGGACTGTCTGGCAGGGAGCAAAAACGTGGACTGTCGGGCAGGGGGCTGGGAGGGAAAAAAACGTGGAGTGTCTGTGGTTCCCCAAGGGATTAAGAAACACCGCTGTAAGGAATCAAGCCAGCGGATCACAGCTTACCCACGAGCATGGCAGCGATGGTCACCACCTCGTTCACGCAGTCGAACTCGCAGGACGCCAGCAGGGCCTTGGCTGTCTGAGGGTCCAGGGGAAACTCCGAGATGATGATCCCGATCTCGGACAGGTTGCCATCGTTGTCGAGGGCAGCCAGGTAATCCAGCTCCTCCAGGGCCTGCATCAGGCCCTCGGGATCTGCAGGGGAGCGACAGCACTCGGCATGTAGGCCCATGCGCCCAAACCACCAGCACACCTGCCATTTAACTGCATGGGAAGCAAACCAAACAATCTACCTGCTATTCATTATTTAATAACTAATAGTGTCCAACAAGCAGAATCACAACCGTGGCTGAAAATCAGAATATAAATAAAAGAAAATTGAAAATGAAGTTTGTGGCCTTTTCCCTTTAAATGTACTAAAAATGGATGAATTAACATAACTAGCAAAAACCATTTCTCAGAAATGCCATTTCAATTTTTGCAGCAGTCCAATCTGACCAGCAATTCAGGTGACCAAACAAAGCTAAAATCATTTTGAAAGCCCTGACATACACTAAACCGCTGCTGTATAATTATACAGACAGCTAAAATTATTCTGCTCATCACTGCTCTGCTTAAAATATATGCGGTTTTCTGGCCATCCTTATGTGAAAGTTCACAAAAATTTGCAGTTTCCCTTTGACTTCTAAACGTTGTGTATAACTCAAAAAAAGAAGGCAAAAGTATTTGAAACATCTTACTTAAATTCACAACGTCGGGGTAAGAATTTCTCAGGAATGACACAAAAGTACAAACTAATTAAATTTTATGCCTAACTTGATTAACTCCTTTAATTATGTACATTGATTCTGCTGTCTGTGTATATTTCTTTGGTGACAGTTTAACGACTCAATAAAACACAGGATGATGGTGCTCAGTCTGCCTTCTATTTCTATGTATTATGGTTGTGAGCAACGTGATTTTTGCTGATATTTACGGCAGGATCGCCTCCCATTTCGCCTCCCATTTCGCCCTCCACCTGGAGCGCTGTGTCATGAGGCTCCTAGCCCCCGTGCACGAGGAGCAGAGGAGACTTACTGCGGACCCACCGAGCCCCCCGCCAGCTTCCAGCTACTCTCCTCGGCGTTTGCCTCCCCCACGAAAGGAGTCGTGACGGACCAGGCACAAAAAGAGCCCCCAGCGGGGAGCTGCCAGCCCCGCTAAAGAACAGCTCTCTAACACCCCCCCCCCCCTCCAGTGAACCTGTCCCGTTTTCCTCCGCTGGCACTAAAAGCGCAGCACGTAGAGAAAACCATTAACCACCGGGTGGGTGTGGAAGAATATATGCACTCAGTAAATCCACCACGCTGGAGCTCTTTGGGTTTCTGCCAGAACACCTCCCTTGCCAAACAAACCACGGCTGACCTTTCCGCTTGATCCCCGTAGGTGCTGTTTATTGTTTTTTTTTTTTCTTCTTCAAATCACAAACCAGGATTACGCCCCGCACCCTCCAATGAAACAGCAACAGCCGCTGCTTCGGGCAGTCGGCCATCTCCGGCACTTAATCGGGCATGACTGAGCGCACTGATTACTCATGCTCTTCAGAAACACGTGTTTATTGTCATTAAAGTTACAGCACTTGCCGCTTTCGGCTCTTTATCTGCGGTTCAAGAGCGCAATTCTTCTGCGAAAAGATTTTCATTTTCATTCAGCGCAAACAAAATGGTCTATTACATCTTCTCTTTTACAGTTTGTGGGGCAGAAACCCACGCAAGGTTTACTGAATAAGATGTTGGGTGATTTTGGTTTGTTGGCCTATATGGCTTTTTTTGCCTCTTAGGTAATTAACAGTGATGTGTTAATTAACCTTCGGAGAACATCGATGTTCCAAAGTCTATGTCACATCCACAGGCACCAGTTAAATCACTCTTGAGCGATCACTCACCTGGCCGGTCGATGAAGTCGCAGTGTCCCAGACCTGCGATCTCCATCCTCTTCAAGAACAGGACGGTAGAGGTGATGTTGGACTCCAGTAGCCGTGGAGATGTTTCCTCTGGCAGTACGGTTTCCTCAGGATACAAGCAGAAACATTTACCTATGGAGTACACAGCTGATCAGTACAAAAAAGTCCTTACAATTTCAGCAACTTATCAGACTGCCTTACCCCAATCATAGTGTTGGTTACATGTAGTGAAATATGAATTTTAACGTATCCATAAGAAAACTGTAGTCATGGGCAAATGAAGCTTCATGAACCATTTGATGTATTTTTTAACCCCACCAGATGGCGCTCTTGGTTTGCTTTGGGAGATACTTTGAGCACTAATATAAACAGAGAGCACCATCTTGTAGGGTCAGAAAATACAGCAAATGGTTCATGAAGCTTCATTTCCCCATCAATGGGAAACTGTATTAATTGTTTTAGCAGATATTTGGAATATAGCATTGCAATGGGATCAGTGAAGCCCTTAAAATAAATGCTAATAAAAATTTAACTCCAGCTTGTTGAGCTGAAATTAGCACACAGTTACGACAAGAAAAAATTACTGCGAATGAAAAATGCAAATCTGATGATTTAAATTTTTGTAGAATACAAAATGGAATTAGACTTTTTTTCCGCCTCACACAGCTCTATAGACTGCAAAAGAGGACACCTTACCCGACGAATCCGTTAACCGCTTCCGGATCTCCGCCTGGCATTTACTGATGGGTCGTACCACCTCCGAGTTTGCCCTGATGCGCGTGTTGTACACCTGTGTCAAGAGAAACACAACTCCCATCATCACGGCCCTATCCTCCTTCCTGAGTATATAATGTCATCAACAGAAAGCAATTTGTCTTCTCATTGATCTCTCTGCTGCCTCACTCTCATCCCCCTTCAAGTTATACAGCAGTTACTTATTGAAGTTTGCAGTTTGATTTTTCTGTGCATCTTTTTAACAAGAATTTTTTAAGTCGTTCTACATTTGGACTGCACATACTACATAAGTGAAGATATGCTTATTGGTCTAGTCAGCCAAATAACCAGGTGCAAACTGGCCCGGTGACCAGTGTTTCCCGTCTCTAGCTCTACACCAACACAACCGGTTCAGCTAGCAGAGAACTTCATTATCGCACTGCTTCGATTACGTGTGTCAAGCTAGAAAAACTGGATATGAAAAATGCTCTTTGTAAGAGAAAGGAAGGGAAGATAATTAAACTCAAGGAGTATTAGTGGCAGGTGCGTACTGACAGAATTTGTTTTTTTCGGCTAGAAGTTGGAAGATCTAATGACATCACAACACGCCGGCGACTAAAGGATTTTAAAAAGACTTTAAATCATTAACATGTCAGTATTGAGTGACTGAAAACACTGGACCTGTAACCTCAAATCCCCCAAATAATCCCTGGAATATGCTGCCCAGTGTTGGAAAGTCAACCTTGAAAAAGAGGAAAATAATGAGGAGTCAACAGAGTAACAAGATAGTGAAAAAAATGAAACAAAAGAATCGCTCTTCTTCAGACTGACTGCATTAGCGTCCGCTGCGGTAAATACCTGGAATCCTAGGAATACTTACATCTCTCTTCTCCACGCCCACATCGATCACAAAGTTGATGGTGTCCACGGCCCAGAACATGTCTTCCCCTTGACTACAAGTGAGGAAAACTTTTCTACTCTTCCCTCGCTCTTCCCCCAACAGAGGCAGCCCCCCACCGCTCTGCGGAATCATGGCGATTGGCACCAGCTCCCCCAGATCCCCGTTTTTGAAGCTGGCCCCTTCTTGCAGGAGAATGTCGGAAGCGCAGTCGATCTCCTGCAGAGAGCAGCAGCGAGACGGTCACCTACCCAACATCTTCGGGTCTGAAACCACTATGTGCGTCATTCCCGGAGGCTAAAGGCATGATCACCTGACTAATGAACAATGCGTCTATTGCTTCAATAAGTCAACAGCTTTGGAGGTCGGTCAAGTGTCAGACTGACCACACAAGACAGAGGATCTATATTGATGGCGATAAAATAAATAAATAAATAAACCTGTGTCACGATTACCTGCAGCAAAAATAATTACAACATCTCCTAATTGTTACAAAATATTAAAAAATCCACCCATCACATTAATTCACCACATCTAAAAATGTCAGAATTTCAATCCAAGTTTCCTCTGCTGTTATCATTAATGTAACTCTGTACCCACCCAACAGACTATTCCAGCTAATTTAACTCATGGTGAGGAACAGACCTAATGATCCCAGGTTCAGTACTTTAATCACAAGAACCTCAGCAGGAAAAATCAGGACTGAAACCAGCAGTTTTCAGTCCAGTGTCTTTAAGCACCACATAGCCTCTTGGCCAATAACTTTTTAAATATATTGACAAAGTTATGTCTCGATTTTAATGTTTCGCTATGGAACCCTTCCCTACTCCTCCTGTCGGTTTCAGGGCTTGAGTCGTGGTGAGGGATGTGACCCCATACCCTACCTGTGATGAGGCCAGGAAGACCACCACGTCCCCTGCTTCCTTGGTGTGGTGGATCTCCAGGACCAGCCTCAGGGCGGCGTAAAAATAGTCCTTGTGGTCTCCGTTGCTGTAGACAACCTCGGCCGGGTGCAGGTCCTCCAGCCGCAGTAAGGGGGCGCCTCCGAAGTGGGCAAGCAGCTTAGCAGGCACGTGTGGTGCCGACAAGACCACCAGGCGGAGCTCAGGCCGCTGTGGCAGGACGGCCTTCAGCAGACCCAGCAGCAGATCGGTGCTCACCGTCCGCTCATGGGCCTGGTCGATGACCAGCACCCCGTAGCGCTCCAGCAGCGGGTCAGACATCATCTCCCTCAGCAGGGTGCCATCCGTGCAGTACCTGCCACATCCACACGGGGACAACGGTGACCAAAACAAGCCCATCTCACGCGCTTCACTACATAACCATCAAATCGCAAGAAAACTCCACCACAAATAAGTGACAGAGCTTTCACTTAATATGAAACCTGTGATTGTTTTGAACAAATATAAAAGAGTTCATTAGGACTTTTCCAAATCCCCAACCTGGGGGGGCTGTGCATTCTTCATGCAGCCTCCTATAGATGTGGGTGCTGCCTTCAGATGCAATTCAAATAAATAAAAAGCCACATCAGTGTTCATAATGCACCCCTCCCCCTCCATCCTTTACAGTCAGCCATTGTGTCCTTTGTTGTCATGCCGACCTGTGGCGCTATTGGGAACGTGTGTGTGGTGGTGGGGCGGGTTGGGGTCACAAGCAGCGTGCAGCTGCAGCGTGGCTCCTTTGAAGCCTCCCTCTCTTCAGATGGAAATAGCTCCTGAAGTGGGTAGGAGGGGGTTGGGGGTAGGTGGGGGTCGTGCTCAGATCCCGCACTTTGACACTGCTCCTCGTGGCTAGTTAACATCACTGCCTCGTGCGCGCGGCGTAAGCAGGCTGCTGTACTCGTTAATTTGCCAGCCAGTTAATTGATTTCGATGCTTAGCAACTGCATTTATCCGGTGCAGCTGATTTAACTTAATGATTTTACACCTGACTCACGCCGATGGCGCGATACGCTTGATTTTCTGGGGCGGCGAGTACGTCAGCGGTCGTACCGGAGGACGGTGTCCCCGGAGCAGCAGGTCTCCAGCGGGATGCTGTAGCCCACTTCGTGGCCGATGTTGACATCCATCTCGTCGGCCACACGCAAGGCCAGCTCCACGGCCAGCTGCCGGTGGATCTGTGAACAGGCCACCATGCCATGCTGGTACTGGGCCGACAAGCAGAACTCGGCGCACCACTGGGGTATCTGGAGAGCGGGCAGGCAGAGAAATCTGAAATGACCGCAATGTTTTTCCGCAGTTTTACATGAGCAAAATTAATTGCATGTAGAAAATAAACATTTAAATATGCGTCACGTTTTAGGCAGTTCCTTGATTATTCGAAGGAAACAACATCCACAAATCGATAGTCCTTTGCCCCGGATTACAAATAATTATCTCGGGAGTACCCACGTTGCTTTCCATCTAAGGGTGTCCGCATTGTGTAGCAACAAAGGCGCAAAATCGCTCAGACTAGAGGCTTTTTCAGCAGGGAAACACCCGCCCTTAAAAAAAAAAAAAGACGTGTTGTGCAGCGAACAGCTGGACCATTGTGTGGCCCGTCTGTCAGGCCTGTGACAAGGGGGGCAAACGACGGCATCTGCGGAGCCGGCGCTCGGACAGCTGGGAGGGACGCGATCCACTTTCGGAATAACCTCAAAAGGGACGCTGATCATGGAGAACGGCTGTCCCCGGGCGAATGCCCCAAAGAGTAAAAAGACAAAAGTACACAGATTTTTAGTCACCAAAAGAAAAAACCTTTGCTCATGATAAGGATTAATTTCTATAGAATTTAATTCAAATGAAAACCCTAGTCTGTCTCTCAACGTAATGATCGAGGCACGTTGGCGACTTTTCGGTATCACCTGTTTTCAATTTTCACATACCTCTTCAAACAATGGCTCTTTGAAAAGAAAAAAAAAAACTTTAAGTCAACGCCTATCTGAGCAACACGTGCCAATTCAGAGAACAGGGATTAACAGAGCAATATACATTCAGATGATTGACTTGACTATATAAAAATATAATTTGAGACCTATGTTTCAATCTCCAGTTTCGCTCTTTGCAATGAAAAGGTGTTATTTGCTGCACTTTAAGTGGCTTAATAGGGCTCCTGTTTGTATGCGGAACCGCAGTTCTTGCCGCAGGGTCTGGCAGTAAAAACTGACACTACCAGAGACTAGCGCCTCTTCACTGGGTCCTATATTTAGGACCATTCAACAGCTCCAGGAGGCCCAGTGATATTTAAGACACTCATCTTTGCCTCAGTCGAAACTGTAGACAAACGTACATGGGAAAATGAGTCCTCTTGTGTCAGGTGAATATTATCTTAGGATGAATGTAAAGTTTTGCATTAATATCTGGCCCAACCTAGCGCTGACGCTCGAAACAGGACCGGGGATGACAGGCTTGTATTACATGTAATGTATACTCGCTGTACAATACCAACAGAAGTATCGGGTAATAAATATTTTATCCAAGCCTTTTTTTTTTTTTAAAGTACCACCATAAACTTTCCTTCAGTTGTCTTGTCCTACTTTATGTCAGTTATATGCGGACGGGATAAAATCTTGCAGTCGTCTAAAAATAACACGAAAAACCCACATGTTTAAGCGTAATTTAAAACATCTTAAAATAGCAGGTAGGTTAAACCTCTTGAAATGTTAAGTTTTAATAAACATGAGCAAGTCGAGGTTATTTATGTTGCCCATTAAAAACCCACCTGCGAACTTTTCCCAGATTTTGCTGTGCCAGAAACTATGACGACCTGGTTATTAACCAAAGTCTCCATAAATTCAGACCGGGCTTTCCAAACAGACAAAGTCTTCCTTTCTTTGAGTAACGTATAATATCGAGACGAATAAGGCAACCCGTCGAACTGATTCAGCTCCAGATCGTCGCCGAAATCCAATCCAACTTCTCGCCCTTCATCCGCTTCGGAGCGCAGCTCCTCCGGCAGATCGTCGTCCGCCATGGCCGCGGTTTATAACATCAGATGTAAGAGGTTATTTCTGGGGAACTCCGGCAAAAGCATTGACGGCAGGGTTTGCTGTTGTCATCCAGAGTTGAGGAACAACTTCGTACAGAACACGTCGCTCCTTCCCTAAATTTGGGGGGGTGGAATACGGGAGATGGCAGTTTTCGTAGCAAAGTGTTTGTATCAAGATATATTCTAAAAGTAAAAACCCAAAAGTGAAATGCAAAGCAGCAACAAGTAAACTAAGTCACCCGGAAAAATATTTCATCCCAAATAGCTTTCCGGCGCGCAATGTGGCGTCTTTTGTTAAGCGCATTTGGTCCGTGAATGAACGGCAGCGGCGAGCGTCCATTGTAGCGCTGAATGTGGTCATGTGGCCCCTTTAATCCCATTATAATCTAATACCGGACTGGGAGGATGGGGACGCACAATGAACAAATACAGGTCAACCAAGTTATAATTAACACAAAGATCATTAATTCGCACCAGATTTCCAACATTAAGAGAAGATTAGCTAATGTTGTGTTTTACTTTAGAAAAATATACAAATAGTATATTTATGTTATGCTCTAAGTATTTAGAGAGCAATGTGTAGCCTGTTGATTGCTGAAAATAAACGTGCAGAGGCGTAGTTTTACGGCAAACAAGTGACCATGTATAGTTGTAAAGTGTATGTAAAGAGATACAGAATTGCAAAAACATGCATCGATAGGTCGTGTCGATGCGCCTTGAACACTGATTGCATTTCGTCTGGTCTTAGAGGGGGTTAGTATAGTGTCGCAAAAATCGTAACTAAATAACTTAAAAGAAACAATTCTGCGGCCTTACAGTGGTACGAAATGAAAGTGGGCAAAGTTGAAGTTTACCTTTACCATGACAACCACTGAATACTGCTGCCCCAAACGCACAGGGGAAGGTGGGCATCGTTCGCAAGCTTCTTTGCTCCTTTGATCGCTGTCATTGAGATTCCATCCATTATCTATCGATCGATGGAAAATCAAGGTAGATACTCTTTTTTTTTTTTAATCGAACTGCTTTTGTCTGTAAAAATAGAAAAAAAAAGTTACTCTAACGATATCCTAATTACCGATGGCTTGCAATTTATCACATTCGCCGTCCCTGAGAACGGCTTAATGGCCTACGTTTTAAGTTTTGTGTTTATGGTCTTTGCTTCTCAGGAAATTAAGAAATAACGACTAGTGACATTTTGACCACATGCAGACCGTCTTATTCTACCTAAAAGTAAAAAAATAAAGACGGTAATGCCCTGTGTTTTCTACATGATTCCAAGTCTACAACATCCTTATTTACTGCTTTGGCTGCATTTCCTGCGTACTTTCGCGACCTCTAATGGCAGTTGATGTTCACAGCAATTAACAGTAATTAATGGTGAGAGTCAATGAACTCTTTTTAAGAGCATCGAAATCGCTGGGCACCAGTGCTCCCTGTAATCGGGAAGGTGAGTCACCACAGCATCGGCTTGGACTGGAGCAGAGGGCGCGGGTCCCGGACCGGACCGCCGGAGAGCTGGACCCGCTTCTCCCTGGAGGTGGAAGATAACAAAACGCACGCCTTTGATACCGTATACAAGTACGTGGGAAAAATAATTAAAACAATATTTTTGCAAAAAAATCTGATATTTAACATGAATGAATACAGCATAGATTTTAATGAAATTTGTCAAATGAAGTACATTTAGATTATATTAATCTATTAAACAGACACTATCAAATGGGACTAAAGTGGCATGTCGCAGTGTTTCCCAAACACTGGACAGATCTACATTTTTGTTTTAACCCAGTTCCCAGAACACCTGACTCAAGCAATCAGAAGCTCAAACCCCTTACATGTGTGCTGGGAACTGGGATAAAACAGAAATGTGGATCTGTCCAGAGTGCCCTGAGGACTGGTTTGTGAAATACCAGCGTATCGTTTACATCGGTGAAACCAGGATGTTGTATTCTAACAGCTCCTGACATTTCAGTTGGCGGCCCGTCATAAGCACGTCCAGGGTCTTTACTGCCACACACTTCAATGCAGTCGACTCAGAGTTGAATTTCGTTGCCCATTTTTAGGGGCTATGGCACCACGCACACTGTGGCAGGTCTGAAGCCGAGTACCACCTACAAGTTCAGGATAAAAGTGGGCAATCTTTCTGGGGGGTGCACCTACAGCTCCATCGTGTCAGTTTCCACGGCCGGTAAGTGTGACGTAGCACTTTGCACGGCCTGGTCCATCTAAAAACATGTAGCATGCTAGTTTTGCACTACTTCACCTCCTAATTGGTTTACGGAAAATATTATTAGGATAGGAAAGGTATCACCTTCCATCTTCTGTTTGTATATCCCAAGCAGGCATATTGGGCCACTTTGCTGAAACATAAATACAGAGTTAATTATATCAGGAGAAACACAGGTAAAGAAACTACTGTCCAGCCACCAAATGTGACTGTAAATGGTGAGAATGAATGAGCCCTGTGGTATGCAGATATCAAATGACTGTACATTGCTATTGAAATTTCAGCTTTTCTTGAAATGTAGGTCAGAATCAAGACAAATGACATCAGACCATTACTCACCTTTAAGACCTCGAATCCAGCAATTTTCAGGTGTAAACAAACGGATGATTTTAGGTAAAGTGTAATCAAATTACTGACCGGCTGTATCTTCAAAAAAGCAGAAACTTCAATAAGGGGCGGTTAGACTTTTGCCAACCACTCCTGATAGGTACAACGTGGCGCTGAAACTTCTCACATATCACCGACTCAAGTGCAGGGAAGAAGTGTGGTTAGGAGGAGGTACACGGATATTACACTGGCTTATCGCGTAGGAAACCAACAAAACAAAGCATAGAAGGTTCCTGAAGCTTGTCATACCCAGTGATATTAGCTGGAGCGCACCTGAGACGTCCCGGATGGGCCCCTATGTAAACAAGCCCCACTGCCCTGGGTTTTCACCAGGAGAACCACTGAATGGGAAGGACCTCCATCAGGCTGTCAACATGAATGACCAGGAGCAGTTGGCCAAGGTGCTGCAGTCTGGGTAAGCGCTTACTATCATGTTAATAAATCCTTTTTAAAAAAATGTTCCCATTTGCACAAGTCCAAGTACAGGAATGCTGGAATTCGTATCTTCACCCACCCCAACTTGCTCTCCACAGCTTGGGCGTCACAGTGCAAGATCAGGGAACATGTCACGCCCCTGGAGCTGGGGGTTAAGGGCCTTGCTCAAGGGCCCAGGGTCATGTGACTGGTCTGCTGAGGCCGGGGCTCAAACCAACAACCTTCTGATCACTGTTCAATATGTGTTAATAGTGTTTAGTGTTTTATTAGACATGATAATGATTACAAATGTAACATTTAGGTCAACATTTTCTATGTACAATACATAGTTATCTGTCTTCAATCAGATATGTCCTTATATAAGTGTTTTGTGTTTTGTTTTTCAAGCACCATCGATGTGGACGTCCCAGACAGAATGGGCTTCACTCCTGTCATGGTTGCCGCCCAGAAGGGATATTTTAGGTACCTAACTGTTCCTGGGGATGGACCTTTAACCAGCTGTATTGCGGAGGAAGCAGTCAGGCTTAGGAAAATTGTGCTTAGATACATAACACAGTTTTATTTTCTTAATTATATACAGTTACTGTATATCATCACTGTCAGATTGAAACTGCTGTTGTCCACTTTTTATGACATTTTATCATTAATGGAATATGCCCATTCTTCTCTGTCTACTGATAGTGTTTGACATCTAATTAACAAATGAAAAGATGTTTTATAGTCATCTAATTATTAATTATGTTTGTAATATTTGTATTCCTGATGGGCATTTGTATGGGTTACTTTATATCACTAATTTTAACAAACTTACCGTTGATAATTAGCTAACTGTCAGGGTCAGCGACTGTCTGACACTACCATTCATGTCTCTACTCTGTTTGGCCAGCAGGTGTCACTGGCCGCCCTGCCTTTTCACACCCTGTTTAACCCTTGTGTGTTCCCTTGCTCCTTGGGCTGCTGAATGGCTTAGGGGGTTGAGTGTGTGACACAGAGGCTGTTTATTGATTTTTCTTCCTAGTGTTTGTTGTAGTTATTTTGCTTCTCTGTTTGGTTTGCCCTGTTTGTGTTTCGTTTAATTTTAGTTTTTGTCTAGTGTATTCGGTCCTCTGTGTCATGCCTCCTAGTTTCTGGTTTTGCAGTATGTTACGGTTCCTTAGTTTCATGCTCGTTTAATTGTAATCTGCCCCACCTGTTCCTTGTTGTCCTTTTTGATTTGTTGTTCTGATTATGCTTCGCACCTGTTCCTTGTTTGCCCTGGTGTCCCTCTGTATTTAAGTGTTTGCCTGTGTTCAGTTCCCGAGTGAGTCATTGAGTTTCTGCTATTTTCCTGTGTGTTGACTGTTCTGTTCCCTTCTCTGTTCTTGCTCTCATGTGTTGTCCTGCTCCTGGACCTTGTTTCTTAGTGGTTTCTTGTAATTAGTTGTTTTCCCCGATTAGCGTTTTGAACCCCTTGTGGTCCTTTTGTTTATAGTTTTACTCGGTGTCTTCAGTTTCCTTAATAAACCCTTTTTGGAGGGGTGGATCGTCACCCTTATTGCACAGAGTCCATGACCGCTAACACCATTGTTAATTGTGAATATAAAGCAAGATTAGTTTGTATCTTGTTGATACCGATATATTTGTCTCTGACAATCCACGCAAGTCCATTTAAAACATTAAACCTATTCACTGATGGCTGTGTTTAGAGGTCTCTATTTGTGGTGCTAAGGGGTTCTCTTTGTGTCGTTATGTGTTTTTTTTTGTGAAGCAGTTTCTGAGAAAATGTTTCTGTGAAGTTTAGTTCAGATTCTGGTGCAGCGTGGTGCAGATGTGATGAGGAAGAGCAGCGATAGGAAGGACAGGTGAGCAACTATCATGCATGGAATGCCATTGCATGCAGGAGGATAGGGGTGCGTTACTGCTGGCAGACTGACCCCCTTCTTGCTCCCCTGCTTTTGCAGCCTGACCCTGGCATGCTTCTCTGGCCACCTGGAGGTGGTGAAGTACCTGAGGGGGTGCGGTGCCCCCTGGACGTCCCGGGAAGGCGGGGGACTCACGGCGCTTCAGGCTGCTCTGCACGGGGGCCACCTGCCTGTCATCGCGTACATGATCCAGGATGGCTGTGAGGTGAAGGGTAAACCCCACCCACCCCACACCCCCACCTCCAGCATCTGAAGGCCCCCCCCCACTGGTTTTAAATAAGAGAGTGCAGTCATTATATAAATGATTAAAAATACCTCGGTAATATATTTATGAAACATAACTGCCGGTGACATATGAAATTTGACTTATACATAACTTAACAGTTAAACTAATGATAAAAAATAAGTATCAATTAAAGATAAGTATCAAGTACACTACTCTCATTGACATGTGTATCAGAGTATTGGGGCATAATCTGAAGGAAACTGCAGAGGTGCCAATATTTTTGGACGGAACTGTAATCGACTAATCACACTTCAGACAGAGGTGGGTAATTCGGGTCCAGAGAGTTTAACTGGCAAGAGGCAACTGGTTGGTTGAAACAAAATCTTGGTCTGGATTTTTACTACCTGGAGCTGAACTACTCACTTCTGCTCCATTATGGACTGGTAATAGGCCGGGTGGTTTAATGCATCGGCTATGCAAAGGAAAACGTCAGGGCCCCGCCCACCTTGGGAAGAGTGGGACGGTTAATTAAATCTGCAAAACCTGAGTGTCCCATGCTGATGTCAGCCTGCGGCCCCCACGGGGCCCCCAGATAAGTTAATCCTGGCCTGGTCTCAAGCTGTCACCCCTCCTCTTAAAATGACGGCTGTCATAAGCACACAAAGTTTCGATTCCCTCCCTGCTTCCGATTCCCGCAGGTAGACGGGAGGGACGGCGTTTCTGGATGGACGCCCCTCATGGAGGTCTCGGCGGTCTCGGGGAACGTGGCTGTGGCGGCACTTCTCATCAACGCGGGGGCGAGCGTCAACGCCGCGGACAGGAAGGGGAAGACGCCCCTCATGGTATGAGCTAACGGGGTGGGGGGGTGCAGGCCTGGTGCCACAGGGGGGCGGAAGGGGGCGTCGCACCCCTCAGACGGACCACCCTGCCCCCTCAGTGAAGACTAAGGCCTAATTTTATTTATTTATAATTCTCTTTTTAAATTACTAACGCAGAATTCAGCTTATTGGGTAGCCGTTGTGTGTAGTGGAGTCAGAGTTGGCAGCTTTCCCAAGATATTTCAAGATGGTTGCTAGCTTAGTTAATCGAGCTTTTAACGAACAAAATGTAATGGATTTTAGTCGCGTGTGTTTATTCACAGAGCGTTATATGGGTAACTTCACCTGGTGGTAGCTGCTTAATCGCTCATCGTTGGTAAATGTTGTCGGCTATTGAAATGAAGCCCATAGAGTCATTATCATGCGATGGTGTGTGGATGGTATATGTTTCCTGGGGTTTGTGGATCCGTCTGTGTCTGTGTGTGTCTGTGTGTGTCTGTGTGTGTATGTAGTGTAATGATGCACTAAACAATTGAATATCTGTGCGTAGAGTGTGTAATTTTTTTGGGTTAAGTCACCGCCCCCTCTTTGCTTTTTAATTGCCCCCCCTCCCCCCATTCATTTTCCACTGGCGCTGGGTCTGGAATCCTCCAATGCTGGCCTAAGGAAACCTTAGGGGCACCGACCCCCCACCCTCCATTACCATATGATTTGAATGGGAAATTTTACTGGGGCACAGCATATAAATACTGAGGCATGTGCTCCAGTAAATGGGGACCAGCGACGCTGATGTGGTACGTTGTGGCATCACGAGGTATCGTGATTTCATCCGAAGCTGGTGCTTTTCCCGATGCTAAATCTGACGATTGCTTGCTGGTAGTTTGTGACTCGTGGGTGGATGACACCCAGGAATGTCAAGAAAGAAATTGGGGGCAGACCAGCGCAGCAGAGTGTGTAATGAGAAAACTGGCCACGGATACAGGATTCCATGCATTTCATGCTTAATTTAAACAGTTTTTGAGAAAGGTGATAAACCAGCAGACAGTTGCTTGATAATTCATCGACTACTCCCTCTACAGGCGGGGTGTCGAACTGCAGCCCTCATTAGAATGTTCTTCACCAATTGAAACATATGCTAAGGTCCACCAGGAAATGAACAGGAGTCCCCTGATCTTCAGCACTTAATTACATAGATGGCACAGCTCATTAATTTGATGCAATGGAGTAAAGCACTTTTTTTTTCCAGGTTGCTGTGCTGAACGACCACCAGGACCTGGTGAGCCTTCTGCTACGTAACGGAGCAGACCTAAGTGTGAAAAATGAGGTAAAAGATGGGTGTCAGGCTACCTCTGCAGTCTGTGGGGTTTCACGTTACACAAGTGAAGGTCTTAAGTTTTCTGGTTTAATCTCAAATCCACTCATTTCCTTTTTCAAATGTAGTTTGGCTCCAGTGCTGCAGAAATGGCAAGAGCGTTTGACAGACAAGTGAGTGTTTGAATAATGGCATCAGTAAAAATTACTTATAAATTACAGTTTAAATTACAGTTGCTTTTTTTCCAGAAAATTTTACACATGTTGGAAGAGAAGGAAACATGTTAGGACAAGGCAGCAGTGTTGTGTCCTGGCCGCCAAGTCCACCTGACCTTCCTGTCTCCTCCCTAGCGTCACCCTAACAAGCCACACCTTTTACTCTCTTGTCTTACCTCTTGTTCCTAAGCCTCATGTCAATCACTCCAGCTGCCTCTCATTAGCTCCCTTCGTTAGTCTCGTGTATATACGTGCTTCCCGGTCCTGTGTTCCCCAGTTTGGTCATTGACGAACCTCCTTGTTGCCAGTGCCCTCCCTAAATTCCAGCCCTTTCGTTTGGTCCCTCGCAGTCCAGTTCACTTCCATAGCTAGTTCATTTAAGTCCAAAATAAACCCATTTTGTTTTGCTACAACCCCTGCCCTCAAGTCCTTCGTCCCTCGAGTCATGACAAATAGTGGATAAAATGTTTTTGTTATATTGTCCATTTATAAAATGTTTTTTAATTACATGGTTAATCGATTATTCAGAGTAACACTAGACTGTATTTAATAGTTATTTAGATCTGTGAATGATTAAAAAGATTAAATGAAATGTCTATTAAATTGCTCTTTAAACGTCAGTTTGTTTTAGCTAGTGGTTTGATTTTGTTCAGATGAAACTTTAAATAAGCATATTTATTGTCAGTAATTTACCATATTGATCAAATATGAATGAAAAAAAAATGGAAACAAGCTATTTTTGTAGAACAAATTTATTAATTTATTTTCTTAACATTTGAGTCCTTGTAATGCTCCAGATTGTCTCCAAATTTCAAAATACAAAACCTGGATAGCCAAAGTACCTTTCATACATGAGTATCTAATGCTCATTGCACTTAGAATTATTAGCTAATTGTTGTGTTTGCCTGCAACACTGTAAATGGTAATAAAAAAGTATACACAGGAACAATGTAAGAATACTGATGATAGTGTACATATGCAAGACATAACGACCTTCAATATTAGAATAAATTCACAAATTGACTGGAACGTGTCGATAAGACGATGGCGCGGACATTGCTTCTTGACTGTACTGTTTAACAGTTTTTATTTTTTTTTATATTTTAAACGAGTGTCTTCAAAATTGTCCGTTTTCCCCATTATCTTTTCAATGTGGCTGCAGAGCAGTTTTTTTCCCAGTAGAGGGCACTATGCCCAAATCTATTTACACGGGGCAAAGCTATTTAAAAGATCCGTAAAATGTCCAGCAGAAAAAGTGAACTGTTAAAGATATATACACTGTGTGACACTGTAAAAAATATTAATGCAAAGAGGTTAAGCGAAGGTTATTCAGTCATATAAATGTCCCAGACTCCCAGTTCTGGGGAATCATTTGCTTATAGGCAATCTGTTTGATGGGAATAACAAACCCAATTTAACTTGGTTCAAGTGATGTAGCACAGCGATAGACAACTTAGCGTGTAAACTGTATTTTTTTTGTCCCTTGTCATGCTTTCCTTTCCAGAGGCTGCCCAGCACAGCCGAGGTCAGTAAGCCTCCCTGTCCAACTCATTCTCCCCCGTGGTTGTAGAGCTTGGGCAGATATGCCTTAAAACCGTTCTTGTGTGACCCTGTCAACCAGATTCACCACTAAGTACATCTGGTAGCATCTTCTGTACAAAGTGTGCTTAATGGATTCTTAATTGTGCATTTAGGTTCAGGTCAGGAAACTTCTCAGTAGGCAATCAACCTATCGAACTTTAAGGTTCCAGTCAAATCTCGAGGAACAGTCGACATGCAGTGCAAAAGAAAAAAAAATGTGCATCCTATTTTCGAAAGCGGCCCACGTTTAACAGTTAAAGAAAAATAAAATCGATTTCATGGTGACTTTCCCTGAGGGCCGTCTTGAGGGATTTGCTCCATGGGGGGAGAAAACCTTGATGGATTCAAATTTATTTCCAGATAGTCATGGTTCCCCTTGGAGTCGACTCTGCTTGGTTGTTTTCTGTGCTGGGGGGGACGCAGACTGACATTGTGCAGGCAGGATGAAGGTCAGTGTGATCTGGCACGTCTTCTAGAGAGCTCGGCCAATCAGATTGTGTCGGCGCGCTCCCTCGCCATGGCGACCGCATGGCTTTTCAGTTAACGTATGATGCTAACAGTCGAGTTGTTCCGTCTCCCCCCATGTTCTGTTGCTGCAAACTTTTACTTATTATTTTGGCTTTTTTTTTTTTTTGTTGCCAGGCCACTGGGGGCGTTCCGGTTCTGGCCACAGATGAGTTGGGAAATGGGCCCGGTAGATTATGACCTGCTTGCAATAGCCAATGCCATCCATCAAATATAACAGCCAATAATTGAAGTGAATTTGCTGTTTTTGAAGACCGATAACCACAGCATCTGCCCGTCCTGCAAGAGGCTTTGATTTCAAGCCACAGCGCCGGGGGCATTTGGATTATTGTGTCTAACTCGTGTGATTCCATCTCAAAGGAATGATCCATCCATCTACCTTTTTACCACGTATCTCAGTCTGGGTCAGCTGGTCAAAGAAATGATCCACATCCTTATTTCATCACAAAACAGGCCGCAAGAACAGTATACTGGAGACTCGTGGTTGCATCATCTTGTTGGCTTGTCCCTATAATGTTGGCAGCATTCACGCTTCACTCAACCACAGGTTTTAAAGATTAAACTATGTAAAACGCAGCACAGTCCATCTCCAATCTGCGTGTCACGTTTCTCCTTGCGGGGAGCCGCTGACCTTGTTCTACGTATGGTGAAATGAATGTAAACAGCCATTTGAGGAGCAGATGCTCCTCTGTAAATCGTCGAGGGAACCATCTCGTTTCCGATCGACTCTTCAAAGGCTTCCAGTCACGCCTGGCTTCCACAGCCCCAGTGTTGCTGCTCCACCACATCGATGTCACAGATTTCAAACAGTGATATTCAGTTTTTTTTCTTCTTTAACCCTTCTCTCCTACATCTCCCCCTTCAAACAACACGACGTAAAACACCAAGGTAGCGAAGCACCAGGGCCACCTAAACGTTCCCTCAGTTGTGGCTCCGACACTCTATTTTTGCTCGTCAAAACAAAAAATGGACAACAGGAAATCGTCACCGAAGCTGTTGTTGAAAGTGTCCACCACAGTGCACTGCATTTTAATAAATACAGAACAAAAAATAATTTACATGTACCTGGACGGGCTGATCTATAGCACCTTACAGAGGCCAGTGCTCATGTGTTGGCCACTTTTGCAAACCTCGGGGATTCGCAGGGATTTTCCCAAGTTTCGTAGTGCAAACGAGTGTCTCTGCCTGTGGGCGGGGCTTCGGGTGCGAGCCTTCAGCTGGAGGGCTTGGTGTTGACCGGGACCCGCGGCTTGGGCTGTGTGGGGGGTTTCAGGGACGCAGGTCTGAAAATGACAGAGGAATCCATGAGGTTCATACCATGTTTATGACACAATCCGCTGAGACGGTTTCCAAAACCCTCACCTGCTCTTGAGAGGAATGGCCGGCAGAGGTTTGGGGACGGGAACGCAGGGGACATGGATGGGGACAGGGCCTGGGGAGTGGGCAGCGGAGGGGCTGCGGACCACCCTGGAGCCCCTACCCACTGGATCTGCTGGGAGTGGTTTCTGCGGCGGGCTGGGTCTGTCCACGTCCTGTGAGTGACACGGCGTTAGAGCCAAACGGCGCCATGCTGCCATGGCAACAGTGTAAGACAAGGATCCAAGCTGTCACTCAGGGTCACACGGGGATTGCCCTCGGCTGGGTTTGGAAAGACAGCTTGTCAAAAGGGATTCACTCTGTCACGTCTTTTTGTCCTGTTGAATTTTTGTCATTTTTCACAACCGAGTTTAGTGGAGATGGCCTTTTAATACTCTTTTTTTATTGTATACCAAAACTTACATCAATATATAAGGTATATAAAAGTCTTGGTCAAAGTCAAAGAAAACATTTAAAGCTATTTATCTGGGTAGTAAATACAAAATTGCTCAAAAAAAAAAGAACTCTTTATTATTTGAAGAAATGCAAATTAAGAGTAATACAATAAAAACCAACAAGATTTTCTTTCTGTTCTCCAAAATCTTGTTGCATGGCTAGATGATCATCGCTTCAGGTCCAAAACCTCTCAGCGATTCCACGTTAAATTTCACCACCAGCTGAGTTAAATAACATAATTATTTAAATAACTCAGTGAGGTACTAATTAGCTATACCAGCCGTGCTAGTGATTCAGTCTAAAAATGCATGTCACGTTATTACAAATACTGAGGCGACTATAGGAGAGGTTTTGAAATGGCTAAGCTGACACACTTTGACAAATATAAAATCATAGTTTTAGACCAACAGACAACTAAACATAATTTTTTCACTGCTTAAGACTTTTGCACAGCACTGTCTATTTAATGTAACAGAAACAGCCTCCCTGAACAACGAGACAAAAGAAATCGATGCAAAATGTTCCACAGCCACTAGGAGGCGCAGTCATCCTGCCGCCCATGCCTGGGTAGCCCCAAGAGCCGCGTAAACGTGATGCGACAGAGTGCTCTCATGCGTCCCTAATCTTCTCGGAGGAGATGAGATGGTGATAAACGTCTGGTAGTTTCTTCGCAGCTGCTCCACGCTGATTTGTGCGGAGAATGTGGGAGAACGCCATTTCCTGTCCGTAGGTGCCAACCTCGAGTGCAGCGAGGCATCCATAAAGAGGACAGCTTGGCACGGGTATCTGCTGGTCAGGCGGTGTTTGTTTATTTATTTATTTGTCTTCTGTTTTCTGCTCTTTGGGACAGACCTCTCAACCTTTACCGCTGCTTCCCGAATCGTCATTCCCAACCTTTTGCTTTCCCTGATATTCTGCACGAGCTGAGATCCGGCTGGTGTTGGGCCACGTCTCTGTCCCTCCGGAGGAAAGCTCAGGCACCTCGTCCACCTGCTTGGATGATGGGCACCGAAGTGGTGCAATGCCAGGGACGGCCGCTAGGGGGGCGAGACCGCTGTAGAGCTTCACCGGGGCCACTGCCCTCAGATCGCTGCAGTACTGCGATAACGGCATTTCGCCTCGGAATTACATTTAACCAAGGACACCAGTGGGCGGCTGGAGGGGGGGGGGGAGGGGGCAGCCTCAGTGTCTCACGTCACTGAACCATGCAAGTGGAATCCGGGGTGGGGGGGGGGTGTTGTTGTTTTCATGTAGGTGTATACAAAACTGCTGACAGAAAAATTCTTCTGTTATTCTTGATTTATTCTCTCTCTTTCTTCAAATAACCCTGATACATTGAAACGACAGCTTCCTGTAAAGTTCCAAATATCACCGAATAATGGAAATGTGCTTGAAGTATATTTACAGTTAACCGTAACGAGAAGCTAACGCTCTTCGTTATAAACCTGACGCTGACATCGTATAGGTAAGGGTACAACGCGCAGCGTGGCACTGACCAGCCTGCTGATTGGCACAAGCGTATCGACATGCCGTAATGTTGCCGTAGCTCCACGAGTGACTCTCTGAGCCTCAAATGTCATGAGGCTACATCCAGAACGTTGTGACCTGGGAGGAGGGGGCAGGGAATTAGCCAGATGGGGGCTGAGTATCAGGTAGGTTATAGCGTTGTTCGTGTTCTTGTTCGGTGAGTCCGTTTTCTGGGAACGTCTGAGACGTGAGTGGCCTCGTGCTTTTACACGCACGACAACTTCTCAACAGACACGTCACAACAATCCCCCCCCCCTCCTCCACCGACACAAGGGGTCCTGTGTGTCTCAAGTACGACGGGAGCATGGCAAATAAAGACTCGGATTAGCATGATTTAATTCCTGGGGGATTATGGGTAAGAATTGGGGGGGGGGGTTCGCTATAGTAATTATCCAGCTGCATAAACAGACACGATGTGAAATTGCAAGCAGGGCTTCGTTTAAGATACATGGGGGGGCGGGGGGCAGCAGTTGTTGGTTCAAATTCCAGGAGGGGCCTTTCTGAAGTACCTTTGAGCAGAATATTGAATGTGAATGGCTCCAGTGCGACATCCAGCCATGAAAGTGAGCGAGAACCGTACGCTATGTTGGAGAAGACGTCAAAGCGTCTGCCAGACATCGAATGAAAACAAGCCGCTACTGAACTATACGAAGAGTGTCGTGTTGCAACTGCAGCCAGGACACTTACCATGCTGGCTCTGAAGGACGTCTGACACGGAAGATTCCGGAAGGGCGCAGCCCGAGGCAGAGAGCAAGCGTGGGAGGGGAGCACTCTGTGCGGCGGGGATGCGGCAGGCTGCGGCTGGGGGCTGGGATCCGGGGATAGGGGGGATGGGCGGCTGATGAGGATGGGCTGGTACTGGGGCAGACGGCGGAGGTTTTGGTGGTGAAAAGCGTGAGCCGGCAGGAGGGGCGGCTCTGTCCCACAGGGAACCGGCTGTGGGCAGACAAGACAGAAGCCACCATCAATCTCCTCCTCTCCCTCCTTCCAATCTCAGCATCCAGTTGGCCAAGTCTCTTTAAATACTTACAGATATTACCAGGTACCAGCATCCCGCTCTCATTTCCAAACAGAGGCTTCGTCTCATTTTGCTCACCGACTTGCACACTACCAGACTTGATGTGCACGTTCACTCGCTTAGAGCAATTATTCACGGGTGTCCCGTTCCTCAGATCAGCCAAGTACAGGACGCTTGAAGTACACTTTATCCACACTTTGGCAAATACTGCATGATTACGGCCCTTTAACGGCTTAAGTATTTAGACCACAATGCACTGACTAATGTTTACATCGCGCGAGGAAGTCCGGCAGCTTATCAGAGTCCAACATGCCTCTAAAGGAGTTTCAGTTTAAATGTGCAAAGTTGTATAACGACAAACACAGGCAACACAAATAACAACATAATTGTAGCGTGACTCTTGTTTACCTCTTCGAATATCAAGTGTGTCCCATTGCTTTCAGGAAATCCCCGCACACTTGGGCTATTCACATTCACTTGCACACTTTGCATCTTACATCAACATACATCATCGAAGTGTGTAGTATCTCAGTGCACTTGCCCTTAAGTGGGGTAAATGGGACACATTTACCCCACTTAAATGTTAAAATTGCACATTCAATACCCGCGGTCAATGAGTTAACCAGCCAGACAGAACGTTATACCCCTCAACGGAAACTTCCTGCATTTCCCAGCTGGAAAAGCAAAGGGACTCCACAGACTCCCCCGGGTGGTGTGCTCCGTAAGAGGCAAGCCTCCGCACCTCAGTCTACGTGCACCATGCACGCCTTCTGGAATATTCTCCCTTCCTGAGCAACATCCCTCCATCTGTCTGCAGCAGAAACTTTTGCAATGTAAAATTTAACACATGTAAAAATATTTCTGACATCCAGGCAGATTTTAGGGGACCATTTTCTACATCCTGAACAAACAAGCGAATGGAGCGGTAATCGCTGGATTAAAATGATCTCCAGTTCTGTCGTAACTCCATAAAAAAGCTAATCATGCTCATGGCACAGTCACTTAGATTTGAAAAGTTTAACCAAGTGTTTAATTGCACAATGCAAAATCAAACAATTGTACGACAGTCTAAAACAAATGGATGTGAACAAATGCATGCCATTCTAAAAGAACTCTATTTCACCTTAAAACAACTAAACAAACACACTGCACTCCAAAACAAATGTATACTATCTTAAACTAAACAAACATACTGTGGCCTGTACTACGAAGCGGGGTTACTGGCTTATCGGGATAACTTGTCGGATTTAAGGTACCACAGTTTAAATGGACTTCATATTCGCTCACTTACATTTTGCCCAGACTACCTTAAATCCAGCAAGTTACCCCGATAAGCCAGTAACCCCGCTTCGTAGTACAGGCCACTGAATTCTAAAACAAACGTACACTACTTTTTAATGTATACAAATGAACTACAAAATGTTAAACAAAGTAAACAATCGTGCTGTGCTCTGAATGAAATAAACAAACATCCGGCACTTGAAAAGCAAAGATATGCTACTTTAGAAAAAAGGTCCTATCGTTTGCATCGAGCAAATGGACTGAATCAGAATGGAAGCCGACTTTTAGGAAATGAGACCGAGACGGTTGCGGCGGTGACAGATGCAGGATTTAAGGCTTTTGTGGTGACCAGAGTACTTGTTAGCGCTCATCAGAATATGCCAGAGAAGGGGTTAATAGAGAGGGCGACTCGGAATGTATACGTGGATGTTCCCCCCCCCCCCCCCTTACCACGCGACAGGGGAACATCTTTGTCAAATCTAGAGGGATGGTTTGTGGAGAACAGAGTGTGGGAAAAGAGTTTCCGAGATACATACCTTATATATGCTGGGACTCTGGGGTTTGCCTGGGGTCGGACGAGACGGGGAGGCCCGATACCCAGAATGCATCTGGCTGGATCTGGCTGACCTTTTCTGACCCATGGACCTTCACAGAGTACAGCCATAAAAAAACAATATATATATATATATATATATATGGATGGTGCTTTTTTACCCTCACACTACCGGAAAGCATCATAAATTCCTTTGTCTTCCATTCTCTTTTCAGGGCATGTATGAGGAGGTAGGTGATGCTCCAATCCCCCCCCCCCGGCCGTACCTCAGCTTCTCCATGGTGCTCTTCTTGCCGCTGCACAGCAGACCAATGAGGGCCCTCCTTTTCAGGCAGAGGACGAAGCCGCCCAACAAGAAGCTCAAGATGGCCGCCGGAACACCCACCGTCACTCCGTGGCCATCGCCTTAGAAACAGAAACACGCGTCACTACAGGAAACCTGCGCGATACTGACTTCCAAGTAATTATATAATCGAGACATAAAAATCATTCAATTAAGGGCTGCTTTCTGCAAATATAAAGCCTAATTTAATATCTGTAAAAACATGTTTAACAGGTGTTGCCGGTTGTACAGTCGGTAACTGGCTGGAACTGGAGCTAGATTCATATCTCAGGCAGAAGATTGCTGTTGTATCCTTTTGGCAGGGGCAATTCTAGGTAGGGGGGCATAAGAGGGGTCATAATTCATACAGAGGGGCCAACCCTAACATTAGCCAATGAAATGTTTTGAATTGGTGAGTGACAGGGGAGGCGGTACTATGGGGGCCAATCAGCTTTCAGCTAGGGTCAGTATCCCTGCCTCAGTACACCCTGACCCACTAAGGTAGAAATATCTTCTATACGGTCGGACAAACGTGAAGACAGATCGAGCAGTTAAGTGAGCCGAATATTGAGGCTTTCAGGTCCTGTTTCCGTGAAGAACATTCATGGACATGGGCAGACAGCTTCTCTTTGAGGTGTGTGTACATCGTCCCGCCCAGAGGTAAAAAGGGGAGAATCCCATTGGCCGTACCTGTCAGCCGCATGGGGCCGCTGTCCACGCTGCCACCAAAGCCTGACTTATCACAGAAGGGAGGGGACCAGTGCGCCTCACAGTGGCAGTTTTTATTATTGTTACACACCTGCGGGGACATTAGAACTTGTGTTATGGTTACAGGTCAAGCACAGAATGACACAAATGTCACTGTTACAAATCAGCTAAGTTTATTGGAACATAAACATTGCTGTTACGGACCAGCTATACAATACATCACCCTAGTTGTTGTTACGAAACAGTGAAACATGTTACAATACTTTGGTTTTTGTATCAGAGCTTCCAAAGATTATACAACACTGGTTGCTGTTGTAGACCAGTAAAACATGTAACAATACTCTGTTTGTTGTTACAGAGGAGTGTTACAGTTCTCTGGGCGTTATATGATCCAGTCAAACACATCAAAACATACCGCGAGTAAGAATAGAATCCTAGTACTGGCCGTCTGGCTGCAGTCTTCAGTCTGGTGCTTAACCCCAATTTACCGCAGTAATAATATGCAGCGATATAAATGCATGAAGTAGAAATGTAAGACATGTGAGTCACTTTGGGTAAAAGTGTCTGATAAGAATCTAAATTAGGTAATTAATTATGGGATGGGGGATGGCTCATCGTCGTCACGGTGAGCGACTCCCCCTGTTTTTCACACGGTCACGACAGCAGCGCAGTGGGGGGGGGTGAAGAAAGATTCCCTGTAAGGAAGTAATTAAGGCCAGCTGCAGGTGGTTTCAGGGTGACAGCGTTCAGTGGGGGGGGGGGGCATATTGATGAAAATGCTGGGAATACCAAGCCTGTTCCAGTAGGAGGCGCTAACATCCCCCCTCTGGTGACACAAGGACCCCTACGCCTTCATTGAAACCGGGTCACAACGCCTGCTCCATCTGCCCCCCCCCCCACACCGCCGCCACAATGATACCATTAACTCAGTTATTAACTAATTATCTCATTTACGGGTCCTGCGCCCATGCACCCCATCTCAATGCCTCATGCAAAAGATAACAGCCATTAGACATGAAAGACATTACAGGCCCCCCACCCCACACACACACACAATGTCAGCGTCAGAATGAGCAATGCTGCTGGAGACTTCGGCAAAGCGAGCTTGGGTTCGACTCTCCGTGCGTCACTAACCCTAACCCCC